GATCTTCACATAGAGCTCTCTGCCTATCGTACGATCGATTAAAACGCGTTGTAAGAGAGCCTGTACGCCTAATGAAGTTAGCTGGCCACTTCTGCCCAACGTGGCCAGCACCACGTGCAGCTAGTAGCTTATCAGCCATATCACGTACGGCAGCGTAGGTAGGCGCAAATCCACGCTGATCTAGATCAAGTATATAGCTTATAATCACCTCCTCTTCTATCTGAGTAAGCTTTTTTGAGTTGGGCTGGCAATCGCGTCTCGCGCGCTTCCCAGCGCGTCGATCGCGTAACGTTGATTCAGGCACGTTAAAGATTGAAGCTGCGCGGCGGCCTGTTTGAATTTGATTAGAATTAAGAGATTGTATAGCAAGCTGAATATCTGATTCATTTGAGAGTAATTGAATAACGTGGCGTGGAGCCATGATAAAGGCAAGTGTAATAGAGTAAGAAAGTTGGTGAGGTGCGCGACTCGCTTGCCTGCGCGACTCGCTTATCCATCACGTTACCCTTTTTTCCAAATATCGTTCGCTAGCTTGTACCATGAAATAGAAACAAAATAACGCAGAGCAGCAGACTAGACCTAACAAATCGATCGATTGTCAAAATAAGGGTCTTTGGTAGTTACACACCCTCACAAACACACATACGGTTGCGCACACACAAGTTGAACGTGACATCTTGACAGTTTGACGTTTTCCGGTGAAGGCTGGGGGAATGGGAAAGTGACCCCGCACTAAGGAATGCAGCCCAGTACCCACCACATGAACAACGACAACGCATACACGCAGCCCCCTGGCCCGGCAAGTGCTTAGGGCTAGCTGGGAGCGCATCCAGCCAGTGCCATTGTCCTTACCATCACCACCACCACCACCACCGTTATCAACCAAAGTATGTAGGTGTTTATTCCCCCTCCACCGCCGCAACCGCCAAACCGCCAAACCCACCCCACATTGCCGGCCCGCATACACACATCTCTTATGCACGTCTGGGTGTTTGGTCCCGAGGGGCAATCATCGCACGCCTCCCTACCAACCCCCCTTCCACCGCACGTCAGAGAGCGGATGTGCTCGGGAACTAGAGAAGAAGGGTTCTTCCCTGTACAAGCCCGCCATCGTGGCACACATGAGCATACCACACACACCTAGTAACATACGCATACGCACGCTGTTGCGGGCTACCCCGGGGCCGCCAAAATGTATGATCGACACCAACAGCCGTCGTGGGATCCCCCTTCCGTCCTCTACATACTTACTACTACCTTTTCGACCTTTACCTCATTCTGCCTTTCCGATCTTACTGTACATTCATACTACTTACCCCCTTAGGTCATATCCTTACATACCACATGACTCACCCTCCTCCTCCCCCTTTTTTCCCATAACCCCGTACTTCGGGCAACACGCAAAAATATGGTAATTGGAGATGAGATAACGTTATGATCATGTGATCAGCCGACAAACTCTCTCTCTCTTTCGCACGGCGACCGTTTTATTTTTTTAGAGTTTACAAATTTCAATGAATCAAGTAAACTCTCCCATTGTTCACCCCCAAAACTAAGAACAAAGGGGGGTGTGGGGTGCGGGAGGAATTAGGAAATGGGGGCCAAGAAAAAAGCAAAAGAAAAAACAACAAAATTGTTAATGCCGGTCCGGTAACAGAACCAACCTGTGTTGTTTTTTTGGACTACGCATATACATGCAAATCGGGTTTTTGGCCTTTCAACCCAAACAACTCGGAATTTCCGTATTTCGTAAAATCATTCGATTTCGCCACATACTTACCCTCAACTAAAAAACCTCGCAGCTCGTATACTTAGCTCAATCCGTCCCCCCGACATTCTACCGACCGCCGCGGACGCAGAGTAGTAAGAAGAAAGAAAAAAAATAATCGCTCCGACCGATCGACCGAGCCAGACAACGATGGGCGAGGGCAAAATGCAAAGGCACAAGTAGTATACATTAGTGTAAAAGGTTCGCCAAGTTAGCACGGTTAGCTAGTTTTCGCATCCTCCCCCACAAAAAAAAGACTGGCCCAAAGAAAGGAAGCTGAAACACCGCCTTTTTGAACTTACGATCGCGGGCATGATGATGGCCTTCTTTCCTTTTGGGGCTGACGTGGGGAATTTCGTCGGACTAAGTAGGGGTGTTTGAACTGGGGGGTTTGATTGGAGGAAGAAAGCAAGGGTGGTTCGAGACGAGGCGGGATGGAAGGACAAGGCATCTTTACGCAGCAATTTTGATAGCCTGCCAAACAGGCGGGACAGGAGATCGGCGTAGGAGGAGAGAGAGAGAGAGCAAGGAGGCTGGGGAAAAAAGACGACACTCTGGCTGTTAGAGTTGTTCATCTACTACCATGGGCTGGTTAGTCAGTTTCAATGCACACGATTTGTATTGGGCCAGCAAGTACTTCACAGAACTCTTTGTTTTGTCTACAATAATAATTTTAAAATATGATAGATTTCCAGATTCCACCCCATGCCAATAATCCCGGTGATAAATACATACTCATTTTCAGATGAAAGAGGTGGCTTACTCACAGCACATGTGACTACCATAGATAGAACTATCATTGCTGGAGGAGTATGTCAAAGCCATATATGACCAAAAAGAGAGAAAAAAACAAGCCGCTCGCTCGCTATGCCAATAACACAATCGTCAAGAATAAAAAAGATATTTTTTCTCTTGGAGGATTGGTGTGGACTGTTGCAATCAACAGCACACAAGTGTCGGAGATGCGATACCTATCCAAGGAACCCCGCCTCCAACTCCACTGCTCGCAAAGATAAAAGAACAATAAACCTTCAAACACGCAGGACTTTCAATTCCAGTTCTGCCTATTCGCTTGCTTGAAAAGATCAAATAGTCGTGATCGTTGTCATGGCCGTGGTGTTCGTGGACCATACGTCAGCTGTCTCCACTCAGAAAGTCAATAAAGGTCGTATGGATCATTTGGAAAGATAAAGTAAAAACAAAAAATATCAGTCCGGTGCCACCCGGTAAAGAGCGTGATGTAGTTGGGAAGTTGTGGGAGCCGGAGCTTGTTTAAATCGTTGATCAAGCCGAGATCGCAGAGAAAACATGGCATCCAGAGGACACCGGGGAATCGCAATAAAATGCAGACACAATCGTTCATCGTTTGAAGTTAAGGGATCGTCAGCCGTTAGATTGCAATCATTAGGCACGTGAGTCGTGGGTCGTTCTTTATATGTATGATGTGCCGTGAGAGCAGGCTGCAGTGTGTTGCCGGTGGATGGGTCGCGCATAAAAGATAGGCGGTGAAGGGTATGTGCAGCCTACGGATTAGACGAGAACGATATCGTGAAGACGCAAGTCGATTAAAATCTAGTTGGCTCGGATGACGAGCTTCGAGAGGAACTTATTTGACAGCGAGTCGAAGTCTGTACGGTCGAACTTGCAGTCGCTTCGTGAACGAAGGTATGGTTCTAATGGACATGTTAGCATTCGTAAAGGCCAAGTGGAGGCTGATAGTATTTACCATATTTGGTGACGTGCGCGCGGACCTCGGTCATGGCATCGCAAACCGCAGGGTTCGAGTTGAGCAGGTGGTGGTGTTTCCTAGAGTCCCACTCGGTGAAAGCGGGAAGCTTCTGGGAGATGGCCGAGAAGAGGCCAACAATGACACCAACGGGCGTGCCCTCCATCTCACCGCAAAACTTGTGAACAGCGCTGATGTCAGGGACACGGTAGTTGCAGTCGAACTGGATCAACTCCCACACAGCCAGGAGGATGGCAGCGAGCATGAAGATGGTAGGCCAGTTCTTCAACTTGTCACCGCTGTAAACGGACTGGTAGAGCGAAGACAGCTCCTCAAGGACGTCCTTTTGCAGCTCGCGCCACATGTCGGCAAGAGCACACTTGACTTGGAAGTTGATCATGACAGGTGCAATGGTCTTTCCAGAGAACTTGGATTGCTGGTCTTCGACCTTGCCAGGGACATTCTCCTCCTCACCCAAACCCTCAACCATGGTGACATGGAGAGTCAGGTTGTAGGCAAGGACAAGCTTAAGTGCCTTGCGAATGACTGGAAGCTTCTCGCGGCAGTAGAAGCGGTAGGCAGTCTTCAAGAGCTCAGTGACGAAGTAGGTACCCTCAAAGTACTCATCAACAAACTGCTCGAAACCACCATCAATGTGGCGATCAAGATAGTCGGAGAGCATGGCACGAGGGATGCCCTCCATACCGGCGGACAGCTTGGCAGTGTTGATCTCAAAGTGGAGACCGTTAAGAGTCTCGTGCCAGTCGACACCGAAGCACTTCTCATCACGGACGTAGACCTCGCGAGCCATGATGGGGAGGTAGTGGCCATAGCCGTGGGTGACGTAGATCAAACGCTCTGCAGTCGAGAAACCTTTGATGTTGCCAATAGAAAAGCCAAGGCTGACGTGACGCTCGTAGTCGGCCTTCCAGTCTTTCATAAAGTAGGCAATATCCTTAATGTCAATGCGTGTGCACGGGACCTGCCAGAGTCGCGCATGAGATGGCTGGCAACCAGCGCACGGATCACCCTTGTCACACGTCTTCTTGAGGAACTTGCATCGTAGGCACGCACGGAGCTTACGGATCTCATGAGCTTGCTGGCGCTGATCGGGCCTGAGAGGGCCACGTCTCCTGCCAACACGCTTCTCACCAGTGTTGTCCTTCTTGTTGGTGTTTGCAGGCGTCTTCTTGACAATGGTCTTGGTAGGCTTTGATCCTGACGCAGTGGTGGGAGACTTCCTACGGCGGGCTGGCGGGGAGCTGACTGCCGACGAGGTTGGCGAGGCAGTGCTTGACGACAATTGCTTGATGACGATTGGCTCTACGCGAGCCATGGGAGGGCTCACAGACTGTGTGGGGGAGATGTAGCTGGGGAAGTCGTGATCACTGAGCGTGTATCCGTGACCGTGGCTGCAGTGATCTGAGTAGGAGTGGGAGTGGATGAGGTCTAGGGTGTTGTCGGTCTCTGACTGGGGCGAGTGCATGGGGAACTGAATCTCCTCGAAGCTGCTAGTAGAGTGAGCTGAGCGAGGCACATCAGAGTGATTTGAGGTAGATGAGTCGGAACCAGCACGAATGTGGAGCGACTGAGCTGGGTTGAAGATGATGGCAGAGTTTTCAGGGTAGTCGTACGAGTTGCGGTGGTTGAAGCCGATGTCGACCCAGCCGTTGTCACTGCTCGAGAGTGAACGGATCTCCATCCAGCTCTCGCCCGGTGAGCCAGTGGAGACGCTGTTTGCAGTGGCGGCGTTGGAGTTTGTGGCATAGTCGGGTGCACTCGAGATGTTTGTGAACTCGCTCTGGAAGTCTGGCATCTGGAAGGGAGCAGTGGTCAGAGTGGGAAGCTCCATGCTGGTGGTAGTCATGAAGTTCATGGGGGCCATGGACATGGAGTTCATCATAACATGCGAGTTGATGCCAAACTCGACAGGCGACTGCAATGGCCCGCCGTACGAGGCAGTGAAGTCGGCACTCATGGTCATGGCGCCCTGTGCATAGGTGTCCTGAGTGAAGCCGCCGTCGGTGTTGATGTTCATCCAGGTGGCTAGCATGGGGTTCATGGGTTGCATGGCGGCGGGGAAACCAAGGCCCATGTTCTGGTGGGGGGGAGTCATGCTCGTCGAGCTCGCGTGGGAGCTGTGTGTGCTCGAGGTGCTGGAATCGGTGATACGTCGCTGATGGTGCTGATGTTGTTGCTGCGACTGGTGCTGCTGGGGTTGCTGCTGCTGGCTAGCATCGTGGTGCTGTTGTTGATGCATACTGCCGGGTGAGATGGGCAGCGGCCAGGTTTGTGGGAAAGTGAACGTTTGTCGGTTGGGATCAAAAGATGGGTCGAAGGTGCCGTCTACGCCGTAGATGGCCCCGTCAAAGTCGATGTGTTGGTTCTCCATGTTTGCACGGAGAGAGGAAATGGGTTCGAGTCTTCTCAGCCTCCGTGAGCTGGTAGTAAGCGGTGAAGGACGGCGGGCGATGGGCCGACCAGAGTGTAGGCGGATGGTGCCAAGGCCTCACACCGCTTTTTGTATGCACTCCCAGCCCCACACCCCAATGGCTCGACTAGATCTGCACCTGGCTGGGATAGCGCCAGAAGCGCTGCAGCGGTCCGCTCGATTCGCAATCGAGGGCAAAGAAAAACCCTGATGAGCGACGGCGTGGGCGAGGGTTCCCAGACTGGCACACCCGCGAGACGAGCGCCTGTCCAGCCAAAGCCGCCGCCAGCTGTGGAGAGAGGGCGGCGTCTGGTACTGGGTGAGCACATGGCCCAGCGGCGAGAGAACGACTGTGCTGTGTGCTCGCCCAGCGACACGCTCCACCTGCGCGCCTCGTCGTTACATGCTAGGCACTACACCAGCTCCGCCTCTCGGCCGCTGGCTGCTGGCTGCTCCCCGCCTGCTTCACCACCCACGCAAGCTGACGCCTCGCCCTGCCGCAGCCTGTCGCAATACTGCCCTTCCCTGCGTTCAAGCCGTCGCCTGTCAAGAGACGACCCCGCCTGCGATAATGCCCCGATAAGCGTTAGACACTCGGGGTCCTGTAGCATGGGATCAGCATGCCGAGAGCGTTGGGGATGCCGCAAAAAGCAACATAGAGGCCCTCCCTCTGCCTGTATTGAACATACTCGACCTGCTGTCTCTCCATCGCCGGCTGCCCGTGCGCCCCTCATCCGACTGCTCTCTGCACGACCAGTCCGGCATGCAGCCAAGCGACTCGGCCTGCACTACGCTCGGTCATGGGCGCATCTAAGTATCTCGACCGACACGAAGGGCTGTGGAGCCACTCGACACTACACTCGACCAGGTTCACCATTTGCCTCCCGGCCTCAACCTGGCCCCAAAAGATACAACGGCATACTGTTCTCGATGTAGACACTCACCGACACCACTTGTTGAACGCCTCACAGGGCATGTCATCGTCATCGCCTGAATTGCTCTGCTGCGAGGCGAGCTATGTATGGCCGCCATGCCATGCTAACCTCCGCGCGCTGAGCCCACTTCCCGGCCGGCGGCCCTCGTGCTTGCAGCCGCTCGTTACTGCTCTAGTATCTTCTGCATGCTGTCAAGTCTCTTCTGCGTAACATCGCTTCCAGGCCTGTTGTTTTGGCCCTAATGTCTTGCAGCCAACCTATCGATTATTACCGCCGTTTCAGTAATTGTATCACCCGTCATGCTCCGCCGGCATATCGCCGCTAATCCAGCGACAGCCAGAACAAATAGCGACCCTCGTCTGCACTTGTGCGTGTACTACCTTGGTATCACCCTTGCTGTACCATGCCGGCAAATCTCCGTTCAAACTCTCCTCACTGTATCTGTCATACACTTAGTTTCGCGACCGTCTGACTGTAGGGCTTATTGTCGACACTTCGCTATTGTGTCGCAATCGTTTCTAGGCCTTTAGAACAGAACTCAAGATCGGGTTTTGTGTCCGGGTCATAGCTGGATAACACATCTTGCAGCGCTAATCCAGGATAGTTGGTGGCGTCGTGTGGGGCTTGCTGACGTTCCTCGTTATCCCACGTAGCAGTGAATATAGAGTAGTATGTGTGTACATACATATCTAGGTACTTTAGAACAGACGAGAATAATTCCCAGTCCAGATTTGTATAACGCAGGCTAGCTGCGTTGAAATTGGGTGGGTTGGCCCTTGTTTGGCTCGGTTCGGAGGACCGACTATGGCGACTTGGTGGAGATGGCGTTGCACTGCGCTGCGCTGCGCTGCACTGCATGTAAGATAGATCCTGCCAACGGTCCTGGGCACATTCAGCTTCGGTAAATCTAAACAAGTAAGTGCTGCATCTCATTGCTTCTTGCATGACTTGTCACGGTTGTAAGATTACAAGCTGCGATGGTTGGCGGCTGTGAGACCTTGTGGCGTTGGGAAAGAAGAAAGAAGACAGTAGTTGATAGGCTCAGACGTAAGGGGTTGCACGAAAGGGGTGTGATTGAGATGTGTGGAGAGCAAATCGGTAGTGATCAGGGATGACAAATCTGACTCGCCCCGTTGGTGACTGGAAGGTCGTGATGGTGAACTGGAGGGTCCTTCCTTTCCACTCAACCATGCCGATACGAGACCTGCCTTGTTCACTCCATAATCACAGACTGTAAGCAGTCAATCAACATACGAAGCCATCTTCATTATTGCAGTCCAGCAAAGTGCCGACCCTGACCGGATTGTATATCATATTGAGTTTATTTGTGCTACGATAACTTCCACCAGATGCCAGCAAGATAGCCCGGCAACGGATAGAGGCGCGAGTGGTGATTCTTCCCAAGTTGACCAAAGGAGTACCATCTGCTCTACCAGTTTCGCTATGCACCTTACATGGAATCCCCAACCCCAGTTTCTCGGTACAAATGTGCTGTTGCGCCACATAACATGCTTTGGGCATTACGTACCTTTAGGCAGTGCGCCCCGCACACTTCGTCGTTGTGGGGTAGTAGCGAACCAATATTCCCAGCAGTTATGAAAGCGAAGCAAGGCTGACTGCCGCTGAAAAGTCTATATTATGTGCATCCAATGGGGAGAAGCTGAGTCCGTACCGAGTCCGGGAAGCACTGCGTGTAGCTGGCTTTACCGAGAACGCAACAGGTGTCGATGTCGCATACGTACGTTTCGATAAGATGATAAAGACAAGACCTTTTAAAGGCAGAGTCTGAAGGGCAGAACGCAAGAACAATGATTGCAAGCAATCGCAAATGCAAGAGGTTACCCATCTTCCGTAGATTTCGGAGTATCGGGGGGGTAAGTTACACAGAGCACAGTCGGCCTTCGGCTCCACGCGCATCCCCCATGTCCCGAGTAATGCGGACAAAGTGTGAAGCATTTAAACAAGAACCAGAAATGTAGCAATGAGTAATCAAGAGACACTCGTACGACACGAATTCAGACAACCAGCCTGAGTTTTCATTGCCTTTTATCACAGAAGCAACAATCATTTCATCGCCTTAAGTTCCACGAAAGAGCACAGTATGGCACACGTCGGCGCGCTGCCCAAGATCCATCGCTATATCACCAGCCACAATGATGAAGGCAAAGCCATCTTTAGCAGCGCCTTCGATGATGAGAGCAAGATGAAGCCCAACTCCGACGGTATCGCATTTGCCCTCAGCTACATAACCAAAGGCTTCCCTGTCGACATGAACAAGGACAAAGACCTTGGCGTATACGGCGACTACCTCAATGACGCACCAGGACTTGTAGTCTCTGGTGGGACGGTCTTACGACACGTCGATATTCCTCCCGCCACAGAATGCACAATGCACCGGACCGTGAGCTTGGACTACGGTTGCGTACTCGAGGGGGAGATCGAATGTCTACTTGATAGTGGCGAGAAGCGCTTCATGAAGCGGGGAGATGTCGCGATTCAGCGCGGGACCATGCATCAATGGATCAACCATAGCCCAACTGAGTGGTGTAGGATGCTTTTTGTATTGCAGGAGTGTCAGTCGTTGAAGCTTGGGGGGGAGACAGTCGGAGAGGAGCTGGCTGGTATGGCGGGCGTGCGGCCTTCTGATTAAGATTAGCAGCTTTGTTGTACGCGTGAGGTTGAAATTAGGATATGGGGTTTGGATAAGGAATCGCGGATATATTGCTATCGATATCGATTAGTATGGGCTGGGCTTCGAGTCTGGAGTGCCAAGCTAGCTAGTACTATCCAATCTGATTACTCCCCACGTGCTCCACCTTTTCTTCTCGACATGCGGCATTCGAGAAGGGCAATCCTTGACCACAGTCGAACCATGGGGTTTGCACACCAACACAGATCGTGAAGTCTTCCGTCCAACTGGTGGGGTGGTTACATCCGCACTCGAACAATACTAAGCGTTCCTGGCTAGCAAAGCTATTGTTCCTGCCAGCCACTCACGGAAAACCCAACAACAGACCTACCAGATCCATAGATCTAGAAGCGCATATAAAAAAGATGGCGCTTCCCTTGCGTTTCTCTGCACAGGAGCCCTCATCCCGCTTGGAGGAAATCGTTCCCGAATCTAAGCGGATTGAAGAACTCTCAGACGACGAGCTCGACAGCGAGTACGAAGACATGGGTACCGCCACTGCAGAAGAGCAGGCAAACATTGCATACCTGGAAAGTATCAGGATACCGATCAAGGATTCTTTGGTCACCGAATCAACCAAAGTAGAGGATGAGACGTCAGCAGTTATTCTACCATACCTCGAGGGCAACCCCAATGACTTTTCTCTTAATGCCTTTGGTATACCGAAACTTCAACGGGACAGGCACGAGGCCATGTTGAAGAGGATTATTGGTGACTACCCTGCACAAGCGGCTGCCATGGATGCTGCCCGGCCATGGATTGTGTACTGGGCCACTCAGAGCATGACTGTATTAGGAGTTGATATTTCCGATTACCAGAAAAGGTGGGTTCGCCGTCTTCATTCTATGTCTATGCACTGGACGTGACAACCGATATATTGAATCCTGGCCTCTGACTACATACAGGGTAGCGCACACCTTCTCACTAGCCCAACATCCCGATGGTGGGTTTGGAGGCGGCTATGGCCAATATGCACACCTTGCATGCACATATGCGGCGACTCTCTCCATCTCCATGGTCGGAGGAGAAGAAGCCTACGACACCATCAGCCGCAAATCACTATGGCACTTTCTCGGGCGCATGAAGCAAGCAGACGGAGGCTTCACCATGTGTCAAGGCGGCGAAGAAGACATCCGGGGCGCCTTCTGCGCCATGGTCATCCTATCCCTCACCAACCTCCCGCTCGAGCTCCCGCCTGACGCCCCGGCACGGCAACACGGCCTGACCAATTTCACCGACAGCCTGGGCGAATGGGTTTCCCAATGCCAATCCTGGGACGGAGGCATCTCAGCCGCCCCTGGCAACGAGGCCCACGGCGCCTACGCCTTCTGCGGCCTAGGCTGTCTCGCCATCCTCGGCCCACCAAAGGATACTCTACACAAGTATCTCGACGTCGATTTATTGACCCGCTGGCTCTCGTCGCGCCAGTGCTCGCCTGAATGCGGGTACAATGGCCGCACAAACAAGCTTGTGGATGGCTGCTACTCCCACTGGGTCGGCGGCTGCTGGTCCATCGTCGAAGCTGCAACCACCACCGGTCTGTGGAACCGCGCTGCCCTGGGCCGCTACATCCTCGCTGCGTGCCAGGAGAAGAAAGGCGGCCTCAAAGACAAGCCTGGGAAGCACTCGGATGCGTATCACACGTGTTACAACCTTGCTGGGCTCAGCGCTGCACAGTATCAGTACGTCTACGATGAGAACGTGAATAAGAATTTAGGTACGGGGAATTACGGGGCCCCGTATCATTGGAAGTCGCAGGGACGATATGCTGGGGATCAAAAGGTTGTATGGGATGAGAGCGATGTGGTGAAGCCTGTTCATCCTATCTTTGTTATTCCTTTCATGTCGGTGTATGAGATGAGGAGGCATTTCGAAGAGAAGGAGGGCTTTTGATAGATATGGGGATGAGCTCTCATGTTCTGAAATGAGAGCTTGGTTTTTGTACCTGCTTGTTCGGTTGCATAGTCATAGCATAGTCGTGGTATCGAGTCTACCTTTCTTTGTTTGACAAACAACTCTAAAGACTATTGTGATGCAAAGTTTTCGAAAAGGCAGCTCATATCACCATATGATACGAGGGCCGTACGTAATGAAGCATGACACTCGGACGACAAATAAAACATCCGACTAGCACTCTTTCCATTGCCCAAGTCACTTGCATAGAAAATACTTAGAGAAAAAAAAGCCTCCCACATGGCATACAAGTCCTGCTCTACACAGAAGTAGAAACTCCAAACACACCCATTTAAACGCTTTGCTCAGCACAGTAATACATCGCCCCCTTTCCCATCAGAACGCCAAAAGATAGCTGCTTTCTTTTTAGTAAGGGATAAGATAAACAAGATCAACCTCCACCCTCAGCAATAGCCTTCAGCAGTCCACCAATGTAATTCCTCAACGTAAGATTATGACTAGCCGTGAAAGCAATCTGGTCTCTCAACGGGGTAAACATGCGCGGGACCCATCCTGCACTCTTCGCTTCTTGCTCTTCCCTCTCTTCGTTCTCGCGTCTTTGCTCGGACGCTGCATCGTTGAGACGCGGCTTCTTACCGCTCGTCGTAGCTCGTCTCGCAGCTTCAGGACTGCCTTCACTAGCACTGAATGCGCGCTTGTGGCTTGGAGATGAGGGTAATGTGATTTCGGTGACGGAGGTTGGCGGCGGGATCTTGTTGAGCTGACGAGCGAGATTGCGGAGGACGAGCACAGAGGATAGAGGAAGGCCAGCGGCATCGTTGGTTTCGTCGGTGGCAGTGTTGTAATACCGGAAGTTTGGAGCTGAGTGTGGGCCTGACGAATCCTCCCTGCCCATGCCGTTTCTGCTGACGGAGCTGGTTGAAGTCTGGGGTCGACCGCTCATGCCTAAACCGCCCAATCCCACGGGCTGTCCGAATTGCGGCTGGAGGCTTTCGTGTCGCATCTGTGAGGAAGAAGTCATGGGCCGAGATTCTGATGGTGTCCGATTGTGCTTTGCATGAATAGCATGCTTGATGCTTGTGTCTGGCAGATGCGTCTTCAGATGCTGCCCAGCTTCAAACGCAGATTCTGTGCCACTAGGAGAGAAGCGCGTACAGCCACCCCAGTGACAAAAGTATTTGGAAGGTGGACTTGCCGAAACCGCGTCTCCGTTTTTCATGTCAATGTCCGGCTTGGGCTCAAGCAGCCACTGACCTGTCTCCTGATCACGAGGCACTTGGAGATGCAAACTAACGACGTGTTCCCACATAGATCTCGCGCCGGATGCAAACTCACCACATTCGACATTAGCCGTGGAGTGTTTGCCATCCGTATGGCCGTTCAACAAGCTCGGTGGATGCCAGCAGCAGCGCATATATGGCCGCTTGGTGCTCGGATCGACTGGTACAGAACGCGGTCGTATGCCTCTTATGGTATACTTTGGTTGCCCACCTACAGTCAAAACTTGAGCAGATGCACCACCAAACGTAGTTGACACGTTTGTGATGAAATCCTTTGCAGGCATGAGAGCCTTAAAAGAAGCCGGGTTATGTGTCATGTGCTCTGAGAAGGCTGCGTTGTATGCTGACCAAAGTTGAATCTGTGTGATTTCGCCTGTGGGATCTTCTTCAAAACACGTCTTGAGCCATTGTGAGCTTCTCTCTGGTTCATCAAGAGTGACTAGATGATCGATAATAGCGGACGATAGCTTTGGCGCACTTTCTGGTGGCGCAGATGATTTCGTAGTCTTTGGGGTGCTCCTACGTTCCTCATAAGCAATCGCACCATACTGCAGTAGTCGCACCAATTGCTTGATAACACCTTCAATATCGACTTCGTGTACAAGTGTCTCAACATTATCTGGGAAACCAGTGAACAGGTAGAGGAAGTCTAGGCAAGCTATGCGGAGATCTTCGTCTTCTACTAACAGCCAGTCGCATATTGACTTTAAAGTCTTTGTCGGTACTTTCGAGAGCTTGTTTGTAACATCAAGGTTCATAGATATTCGTGCAAGCGCTCTCAAAGAGGTAATGATCCGACCACGGTCATCCGTGTCGATTTGCGCTAGCAGAGAACGGTAGAGCGGGCTCTGAGAGTCCAGCATCCAGTACTTCGTCAACTGCTCGGTAATTTCAAGGGCGTAATGCTGCAGCTCTACTACAGATGGATGGGTGGGTAGATTGAGGGCAATGACGATCATATCTTGAATGGACGGTACGAGGGCGGCAAACAATGCATTTTCTTTCAGCATAACCATGTTCCGGATAATCAGTGCTGCCTCATTGATCATGTTGAGCGACTTTGCCGTCTGTTCAGGTAGGAGACTGTCATGGATGTCGAGCGTGCGGAGAGAAGAAATGCGCTCAAGCAGGTCGGGGGTGCCAGACAATCCATTCAAGGTCTGCGGGTTGCTGAATTCCTCTTCAAGGTAAGAAATGTCCCAGCTCACATCGTAGAAGAGCGCGCCAACATCGATGACTTTGGCTATTAGTGCTTCTGCAAGTCCCGGGAATTGATCGAAGCGGTACTTGTCGCCTCGCTCATGGGAGATCTTGACCAGATGGTGAAGAGCATATGCCTCCTCCTCGGGCTCCTTTGACCGTAGCGCATTGAGAGCGCGAATGTAAATGCTGGGCCCAGGAAAGCCGGTACCGGGCAGCATCATGCCTTTGAGTGGAACTGGCCTGTTTTTCTTGTTGAGGATGTACTTCTTGCGCGATTGTACGTATGTATCGAGGGAGTTTGAGGGAGTTACGACGGGTTTCATGGTGGCTGGCACAGCTGTTCGTGGCTCATAGTTCGCAATTGTCATGGCGGCCCCGCTTGTTCCATATCCGTTGGCTTGCGACGAGTTCAGGTGGCCCGTGGATTGGCGAGTCTGGCGAGTCGAGGCTTCAGGCTGGAACAGCACTCGCTGGGGCGGCGCATGACGGAGGGAGCGCGTCGACCGCCCAAGGTTGGCGGAATCGTCGACCTCCATCTTGTCTTCTTTGGGTGTTTTCTCCATGTCGTCTTCTTCGTCTGATTCCTCCTCTCCCCTTAGCCGTTCGGCTTCTCGACTACTAGGCGGGTGGAAGTTCTCTACGGTACGGTTCAGCAGGTCCCCACCCTTAGCCGATACGTTCTCGAGGATTTCAGGCGGCGGGGGTTCGCGCTTGTGGACTGTGGATATTTCGTATGCACTATTTCATGTGTTAGCCGGAATGAACCGCAAGGTGAGGTGCGAGGCCTGGACATACGCAAGGTTCTTGTAGTAAACAGTCTTGACCAGAAAGGCCTGAGTTGTTATGCTGGGGCTCTTGGGGAGAAATTCCGAGGCGATTCTTCGCCACGCAAGCTTGTTGTTCTTGGTATCAGAAACCTTGTCGTATCCTCCCTCCTCATTCACGCGTTTGTAGAGCCGCAAAAGGTCAATGTGTCGATTACCGATCTTCGGCTCGCGATCCAGCACAGTACTACACGTCTAGTCAATATATGTGCGCTAGGTGCAAGACAATAGGCAAGATGACGCACCCGCGCTTTTCGTGGTATTCGGCCAAGGTATCCAGAAAGTCTTCCCGTTCTTGGGTGGGCTCGACGGAGGTTTCCTCTGTTTTGTTTGGGGCCATGTTGCGGCTGTCGCATTCACTGGAGACTACGGACGCACGGATCGGGATACATGCGTGGCTTGAGCGGTGCGACATGCGCAATGGTGGATCTGCTGGTGAATGCGCGGCGCGCGTTCGGTCGCGATGATGGATGAGCGAACACCAGAACTCCAGAATGCACCGCGTTCATCTAGCGCCGAGGTCATGTGACCATGCACTGTCGCGACTTCCTCGATGCATCGCACGCCTTCTCACAACCACCACATGTCCATGACTTGAGATAGCATGTTGCTGGAACCAAGCTTTGATCATCGAGTCTTTCATCTCTTGAAGGACTAATTCGTCTCCAACTAACAAATAGCTACGTACCACTAACCGACATGCTCTCCCTTCCGCTTACGAGCTTGTCCACGGCTCAAGACGCGGATGCCAAGCAGCAGAAGTTCAACTGGCAAAAGGAAACACACGACCTCACTTTCGTGATCGACAGCTATGGTGGACGTGATAACGCTCAGCTCATAAAAGTGGTTCAGGGAACGCAGGCTCGGGTACGAGACAAGCATGCCTGATGCCTCTTCATCACGGACCTACTGATTACATGTGTTCAACACATTTACTAATTTCTTAAAAATAGCATCTGATAGAGATAGAGCGACTTGTGAAGGAAGGAGAGCAATTGGTTCGTCAAATGCAAGATCAAGGAGTGCAAATGCAGGCGGAACAGCTGCCAACCTCCGCTATCGTTCGCAACCCATTGCTTGCTATTCGATGGCGATTGCCCAACCAAAAGGTACGCAAAGGGCTACTTCAGTTCCTGCAGCTCTGACACGGAGTACAGGTTCGTCGTATTCAAATCAGGTTCAAGTCCGAAAGAGACTTCAACACGGCATTCAATCGCCTTCGTCAGATCGGCCTCCACATGAATGGGCACAACACTGCGTCATCCATAACAGCTCCATCTCCTAGACTAGTACAAGTATCTTCAATATCCTCCGGACCAGGTCTGAAATCTGCCGCGTTTTCTGAACAATTTATGAGCAGTATCAGCCTAGGAAGCGGACTGACCTGCCCCCCATCGCGCTTAGCAGAAATCTCCAACCGACCTCAAACTGCCGCGAATGCATCTACAGATTTCAAGCCTCACGTACACGCAGTTGCTAACGCTCGTCTGTCGCCTGCTGCTCCAAGCCCTGACCGAGGAGACACTCTTACTACAACTTCTTTCTCCAGTCCTCTGAATCCACCAGTACTTTTCCCTCGGCCTCAGTCGGCCACCGCTGATATTCTGAGTCGTAGTTGGAACGATGTCTCCTCCTTCTCAGATAACTCTCGCTCCATTGTACAAGAGCCTCCACAAGCATCTACTGAGCGCCCAGAGACTGCAATGCTTTTCAACCGCCCAGGCACCACTGAAATGCTACCGCCGCGACGAGAACTCCCTTTCCAACGCCTATCAGAGCCAAGATCATCGGGAAGTGACAGTGGGCGAGCTCCTGATAGTAGGCCATCCATAAGGTTGATGGGCCCTCCTGCTCTGCCACGCTCAGCTGTCCAACGACCCGGATCCACTGGCAGCGCAAGCAGTAAGGATATCGAGCTTCCCCCTCTGCCACAGCCTACTGTAATTGACAAGGCTGGCCGTGGGAAGCAGCCAATGCAGCAATCTCCCCGTACACCGAACCAGGACCAGAACTCGTTTCAACGTGCAAAGACATCCCCAAATAACCGTTTTGGTGATGTACCGTCACTCACAGCGTTCTCGTCTCCGTTGTCTTCTCCGCTATCATTCATAAATTCGAGTTCTCCTGATTCGATTTTGCTACAGAACCACAGTACGTCAGGTGCTGAGGTGAGGAACACACAAGGACCAGTGTCGGGACCTTCTCATTATCCACCCACTACATCTGCAGTATCAGAAGCTAGCGACCGTATCTCGAACGCGGCCGTTGCCAGTGGTACTACAGCCGGAGCTAATGATGTCGAACGCCTAGCGGCATATACGATGCAATCTGACGAAGCCCGTAGAGCGGCACTCAACGAGTTCATCTTCCGCCATCTAGAGAGTGACGAGTTTCTCACGTTACTGGAGGACATGGAAACTGCTTGGGCTCGGGTTGCCCTCGGTATGCGGTGAAGAAGTATTGGTTGCTAGGTATGCGGCATTGGAAACGACGACGACAACGATGATGATAATGATATACGATGATAATGATGTACAATGATAATGTGTTGTGAATGACGTGCAGGAGTCAAACCATGTTTTATTCTTTCTGCCCATGGGCCCACGGCAAGGAAAAATATACATATACAAGAAATACCACTTTTACATCAGAAAACATTTTCAGTCTCCTTCTTTTCCTCAATGTGTCCTCCCCTCATCCCCAACAACATACCCTCTCGCAATCCCGCTCCTCCCCTCTTCCATCTTTGCTGCCCTCGCATTCCCCGTACCTTCTTCTCCATCCTCCCCATTCTGATAATCACTACCCAAGCCCTGCCATGTGCGATTTGATCGCAGATACTCAGCACCGGGCGACGCCACACCACCCACAGCCGCAATATCGCCATTCGCACGTTTCGCCAGAGCCGAACTAGCTGAAGGTGCACCATCACCATTCGCAACAGCCTTCGGCGTATTCTTCGCTGCAGCAGACCGCATAGGCCTCGCATGCGAGACATACTGACCAGTCCTAAGATCAAACTCTGGGGGCTGAGACTCCTCTTCAGAATCGTACTCTACACCCTCTTGACCCTCTTTCTCTTTCTCGTCAACATCGCCCGTCGTCTCTTGATTCTCTTCTTTCTCCCTATCCTCATCCAACACCTTCTGAAAATCCGGCTCCCAAGCCCCCGTCCACACACGCTCCGCATCCCCCTTTAGCGCAACACCAAGCTCCCACGGCGTAATCATGGGCCGCCAGAAATCTCGACTCTCGATTAAACTGCTCTCCCAGCACCCGATTACGACCCAGCCGCCTACCTCGCTGAAATTGGCTACTTTCGCCGCGTTGACCTTGCCCACGACAAAAGTGTAGGATTTCTTGCCTGCGGCGGCGATTTGCTGTTGGACGTGCGAGAGGATGTGCATATAGTTTTTCACAGAGAGCGTGTTGATGAGAATGCCGAAGATGGGGGTTGTGGAGAGGGAGGTTATGAGGGCGTAGCGCCTGTTTAGTGTTTTTGATGTGTTGGCTAGGGAGGCGGAGCTGGCTGGTTCGGTGGTGGGGTAGATGTGGATTGAGGATACACGAGAGGAGAGGGCGAGGAGGAGAGATGTAGGTGGGTCGGAAATGTGGAAGAGGGCGTAGTCGCGGAGGGCGTCGTCGCCTTTTTCTTGTAATTCTTGCGGGACGGTTCGGTTGGGCAGGGGTGAAGATGGCTTGTGTACGATTTCTGTGGCGTGGAGATTCGTGTACCCGTCTTCGTGGAGGCGTTGATATAGACGTGGGATGTGGTGCGAGTACGGTATGTCCGCCATGAGAACTATTTTCTTGTCCTTTTCTTGGTAGGTCTCCTTGAACGTTGCGATAGTGGCGTCGATGTCGAGCTCCCGCTCGGTGAAAACGTAAATGACTGGTAGTCTTGATGGCGGCGATAGACATGAGCGGCCATAGTGCACGACTACATCCGCGTCGACATGCTCTGCAGCCACTTCATCTACACAGCACGCGCCATATGAGGTATCTCCCAGTATAAACAGTTTTTCCTCGACGACACCCCCGCTGTCCTGTAACCTGGCTTTTTTCATATCCGTAGCCAATTCTTCTTCAACAGTCGGCGCCGTCGTGCCATTCAGCGACTGCCCGCTCTTTTCTTGTTCGCTACTGTTCTGCCCTTTCCGCTCCTTCTTCAGCCCTCGAGTCAAATGGTCATACACTCTCGGTGCATCACCGAGCATATGATCTGGAAACTGCAGGGCAATCCTCTTCCATTTTCCCTCTCGTATTTCCCGCACTGTGCGTTCAATCTCGTACGTGAGCGCAACCTGCTCGTCTGATAATCGAGGCAGATTCGAAGGATCCACAGCCGGCGTCGGGTCTTCGAAGATGTGTGTATCGGGTGTCGAGAGTACAGGCGCACCCTCGAGCGCTGGGACGGCCATGGTGTATTCTTGTTGGTTGAGTACGTATATTGTGGTTGGTTTGTGTAGAGAAGTGTGGCGGGGTCATGACTTTTTTCCCTTTGCTAGGTGGGATGGCGGGGCATCCATACGCAGGTCGCGGGCCTCTAATGCAGGGACGGACAGGGCTGCCGACGAACTGCAATAAAAGCTCCAGTGTCGATGCGTTCAATTACAATGGGGCGACCGGCAGCAAGCGCATTTCAAAATGTAAATCAAAGGCTAGATTGCTATATAATGGGAAAAAGGTATCATGATTGCCTCCAACGCTAAGGAACATACAAGGTCGAAACCACCGCGAATATGTCATCATCCAACGAGTGCAAAGACAAAAAACAAAAGCCTACATCATTATGTAGGCAGACCCAGCAGCTACTAGAGCAAGACTAAAGAGGTTGGGCACAAACGTGCTCACACCGCTGTTTTGTGTGGCATTGGCTCCTGAAATGATCATCTTCGGATTGTATGGCGCCGCGCTGGCAACCGTGGTGCCATTCCAGCAGTATCGTTGGAAGCACTGATTGCACACATCTGGAATAGCTTGGCCGTTGCGCTCCAAACTCCTAGAAAGAATAGCGCATCCAACGCAAGTAGGCCAGTTGTTGGCACTCTCACGTGTCGCGTTTGCCTGGGTCACAACCTCGTAGCCATTTTTGATCATACTAGCGCGCTCTTCAAGGGTATACGAGAGCTTCTCAAATGTTGACGTATTGGACCAGAAGGAATAAGGAGCGTTGGGAAGGTACACAATGAGAGGAGGAATGTTGTTACCCTGCGTGACATTCTTGCTGTTACAGCCAAAGAAGGTAGGCCGGTTGTTCAGGCCAAGGGCCACGAATGTATCGTGGCCTGGGATATAAGGGAAAGACGTCTTGTTCATGATTGGCGATCCCGCACGCTGGTAGGTGGCAATAAGAGCAGTGCCATTGGGCCAATTTTTGGAAGGGTTGCTCTCTACAACAGTGTCGGCAGACGAGTCGACAGCGAAAATGACATCAACCTGGCGCACGGGCTGAATGACTGGGTTAAGAGGAATGTTCTGAAGATCTTCGCCACCATCTACAAGCGTAAGGCGCTGGTTGGAGGCGCTAGGGTTTGTGTCGTTGTGATATTGGTAAAAAGGATTAGGCGTGTAATCTGCGATATCGTTTGAGTTGCGTCCAATCCTTTCTAGAATACGAGTTGCGAGGCTCCTGAGAATATCGGGTATATTTTGGACACTGTTCAATGTGAGGAAAATCTGATTGAACAATGAACTGCTCGTTCCCATGATAAACCCGAGATTATCGAATCCAGCAACACAGCCTTGATTCTGGGGAAGCTGTCCTTGGCTGAAATTCGAGCCAATGTACTTGAGCGGGGCGAAGCCGAATGTTGTAGGATCAAAAGAGCCCATCTCAAAAGGGTTGAACTCAAAGACGGTAGCGTTGAGGGAAATGATCAAATCTCCAGGCGCGCGCTCGTCAGCTATGAGGATAGGCATGGGAGCATCTCCAGATGAGAACCTGGGGTCATCTTGAATAGAAGAGAAGGTATAGGCTAGAGGAGTTAGCGTAGAGCATCGGATGGTATACTTGCAGACATACCAGGTCCTCCATCAGTTGCGTTGATGAGCTGAAACGAGAGGCCTCGGCCGTAAAGATCGGTAATAGAGGTATTGAATTTGCCGGCTGGCGAATCGGCCTTCTCCCCGACTGTGCTGACTAGGTTCTCAAAATATTGGGCAGTGGAAAGCAGCTGGATGCCCCTTGAGGGGGGACCCGAGAGAAGTGAGTTCTGGAACTGCCAGATAGGAGTGTTGTCGCCCTCTTTGGTAATATCCTCTACCGAAGTGAAGTTGTTGGCATAAATGCTTCCAATTAGCCATCCACCACCAGACAAGGCTGAGACGTAGGTAGCCGCCTGCAACAAGCCTCCCAGGTGACCGGCATTTGTCGAGCCGGAGGTTCGGTTGTCGAATGCTGCTAGAGCACCTGCGCCATTGAGCAAGGCACGGTATCCGCCGCCGGAGAAGGAGATTGCAATGTTTGGCAGGGCCGTGGTGTTGTCGCGATGGGTATCAAGGTATCTGCCCACGTCGAATCCTTGGATATTGGCCCTTTGCAAGAACGCACGCATAGGCTCTATCGTGTTTGGCCTTCTCTTCTTGAGCCATTCTGTCTCGGCGTTGGAGAGCCTATCGGCAGATCGAATACTCGGGCGTGTCGAGGGACAGGTAACTTCTGCGGGAGCATAGCCATCGGGGGCTTGTGGGGCGGCGCGCTTCCATGATTCTAAACCGCTGGTAGGAGGCGCGACTCTGGCATCGCGAGGGCCAAGGGCAGATGCTGTACCTGCGTCAGTAGCGATTCATGGGGGATTTGGGTGTGTCGCTTACAGGTCGCTAGGCTAGCTAGTGCCGAAGCAGACAGCAGAGAAAAACACCGCATCCTAGTAGTATCAAAAGATACTCGATGTCAAGGTGGTAAGGGAGTCAGCAGAATGATTGAAGTGTGCACGCCTGGGCATGTGGCAGACGGTCATGTTAAATGTTGCGATCACACCACGGACAACCATGGTTCGCTTCAAACGGCTGAAGCGCTAGGAGACTGGTCTGACCTCATCCCGTACGTTGGTCCGCATAGATGAGCCACTTTGGTGTGGCTGGAGTCGCGGAATCCTGGCGGTCACCTATTAGCATGCTCTATTTATGACAAACTACTAATGAACTGTTACATGCTGACAGTCGCGTGCTCGTTTTTCTAGTCGTCAGCACCATTATTGTCTTTCCTGCATTGTTTTTTGACCGCAGTACCGGCTATGTCGGATACCCTTCATGGCCATCGAGCATGTGCGTGCGTCAGGCACATTCGTAGCGTGTAATTTCTTGTGGAGCGCTGTCAGGGACACGAGCCTACCTAGCAACCGCCACACCATCATCGACATTAAACGTCTCCTTTGTCCATATTTGAGACGCCATCGCCAGCCTTGGTAGGTCAGCAATCATGCTGTGTTGCCTTCAGGCCACCATCTACTGTTATCCCTCTACGGGTCTGCGGGCGCTCAGCCTCATGTCTCCGCAGTTAGGCACCCTGCTAATTTGCAGCCAATCTCCCTTTTGGATGGTAACGGCTGCCATTGGAGCGTATAGCGATCCTCTGCAGCGCCAACGTCAAGACGTCCGAAACGTAACCCCTCCCCCCCCGGTATTGGAAGTCTTTGCTCCGGCCTTCCGGGGCTCCACCGTGACGACTAAACGGGGACGAATAGTGGTGCGGCGGTGTGGCGATGTTACAGTCAGTGTGTGGCGCTTGGACAAGGATATTCAGTGTGTTGTGCTACTCTTGCACAGTAGGTTTGTGGGAATAACGAAAAATTGCGCAGACATGCATAGAGTAATCATGCGCATAAGGTATAAGGTGCGAAGACGCAAAAGCATGCATTTGTAGTGTGTATACGCTTATGATTCGGGCCGTGCTGACATGTGACTTCGCAACTGCATTTTCCCTCAACGACTACTATGACATGTTACTATGGCGATCAATCCTCAGACAACACACACATATGTATGTACTACTAGCCACTAGTCTCCGTCTTTTTTTCATTGAATAAACCATGGCTGGGCCTTAAGTGCCTTGCATCGGTCTGAAAGGACGCTTGCAATCCCATGATACAACATGTGTACTCTACGATTTTGACAACTCTGAGATACACAAGCTAGGGCAATTTGCATATGGGATACCAACATGTTCACATGTAAAATGTTAACATGCTGGTGTTTGAACGATGACTTGACGTCATGTCTATTTTGCTACAGCATTCTATCAAACTTACCTTAGCTTCTCTAGACTTGGACAACCTCTGTATGTAGACACCCGCTGTCTTCATGCGAACGCGTATTGCGCCCCCAATCTTTAAGGCTGCGGAGTAGCTATATACTTGTTCAACAAACAAGAAACATGATGCCGGCTATGGCCCGGTTCAATCTTAGCTACTAAATAATACAATGATCGTATCTAACGCGTCAACGCTGAGGTGCGTTGGGTAAAAAAACGCTTGCTGCTCTTTGAGGGGTCAAAAAAGGTTATGAGGTTTGTGTTTTCTTGACTCGCGCTGAAACAGAGCAGGATGTGAAGCTCGAATTCGAGTTCTCATGTTCCAGACAAGCATTTGCTGTGCCACAGTGTTGCAGCTGCCGATCTGCCTAGCTTGACCCACTGCGATAGACAAGACCCATGTGCGAATCCTACAAGACGATGCCCTACGACATCATATCACGGCCATAGCCCAAACGTCATGCTGCCATCTCAGTTTCAACACCATGGGCAACGTACAAGACTCGAGTTGCGTGTCAACTTCCATGTTTGCAGTTTGCGCGCACCTGCAACTCCAAGTGGAAATTGCAACGAATACCACGCGACCTGGTCTTTGACGAGAGATGCGAAAACAACTCGGGTTTAGGTCAAGTTTTCCAAAAGAGTTCGTTTATCATAGACAGTATGGTGATTTTTCATACAAAGCGCGGTCTGGACTCTGCTTCATCGACACGGACTGAAAAAGAAGCGTAAGTGTCCACGCTGCACCTCCAATGAAGACAAGCTTGTGGCGAGAAAGTGGAAGGCGTTGGATCCAAACCGCGAGTTGTGCTAACGCTAACATCATGCTCGGCAAATCTCTGTTCTGGTCGACTTCCCGCATTGTACCCGGCCATTACCCCATGACATATCCATCTCTGCTTTTTTCCCACCCCGAAAACCTAAACCCCGCGAATAGATCGCGACTACCTCCACTCCGACCCCTGTAACGCCTCTTAGTCTACGGAACACTCCTTGAACCACCGTATCTGCTGGCTAAACGGCTAAATACTGCCGCTTTGACCTAGATCGCGGTCTACACATCACTGTTGGAATTCGGTTGGCAGCGACAATGGCACCTTCGACCTCAAAAGCATAGCAAATGTTTGTCCATTGCATGGGAATCTGCCGGGATGTCCTTCAAACCACACGTTGCATACAGAAATCCATCATGGCCTTGTCACACGTGTCGAGACGGGCATAGCGCTGGAATCGGCCATGCCCATAATGGTGTCCACCTGTACTAACTAGTATTTTGCCAGTGCCCCTGCCTAGGCATCGATCTACCTATCGGTTCCTGGGGTAAACCGGCGTTCAAAGGCTTGATTTGAATAGCCTCTTGCACAGTGCCACTGTCTAGCACGGGCGCTACGGTTGATAAATTACGACCCTAACGACATCCGGGTTGCCGGGGCTGTATAAGAGGGCCAAGATGCACGAGAACAATACTCCAGCTGTCGATCAAGTCTCCTCGTTGACATTCAAGATGACTGTACTAGCCACCTTTGTTGCTGCTGCTGCGGCTGGTTTGGCAGCTGTCTCTCAGGCTTCTCCAGTAGCTCAGTCAGATGCTACCGCTGGTGTGTCAAATGCGAAATCTTCTTTGACACTCGTCTATCAGAACAACCTCAATGGATCAGACGACAAGAACCACATCGGCGCCATTGTCCTCGACCCGGTTCCCCAAGCCAGTGCAGCGGCAGCTTGCGCTTCCTTGAACGAGAAGCTCATCACTCGAGCTGCTCTTGAACAGCATCAGAACGATTTTAATGATGCCCTCTCATACCAAGACTATGCCAAATACAGCGACGCCGAGCAGGGCTACCACATCGACAACGGTGTCGTTTCAGTGGGCGATCGGGTGAGCTATTTGTCCTCTCCGGCGCCTCGCAAACAACTGCCAGTTTTGTGCACTCAGTCCTTCAACAATGGCTCGCGAAACGCTGGCTTTGTCGAGGGCAGCAGTGTCTCGGTAGCTTCAGGAGGCAACACATTCGTTGGTTACCGCAACCAAAAGTCGTTCCGATTCCTGGGCATCCCATATGCCGATACACCAAAACGTTTCCAGTACTCTTCTATCTATTCTAAGAAGGGCCAGACTATCCAAGCTACCCAGCACGGGTCACAGTGTATTCAGGGCGGCGGTGGAAGCGAGGATTGTCTGTTTTTGGGTATCCAGACGCCATACATTCCGAAATCCGGATCCAAGAAAAACCTTCGACCGGTTCTTTTATGGATTCACGGCGGAGGATTCACAGGTGGAGTCGGTTCAGACCCGCTTACCGACGGTGGAAACTTGGCGAGTAAAGAAGACCTGGTTGTTGTCAGTATCAACTACCGTCTTTCCACGCTCGGTTTCCTTGCCATTCCAGGAACGGACATCAAAGGAAACTTTGGTATCCAGGACCAACAGGTGGCACTAGACTGGGTCATTGCCAACATTGCCTCTTTTGGAGGTGATCCCAAGAAAATCACCATCGCTGGTGGCTCTGCGGGCGCCGGCTCAGTGCGTGTGCATCTCGGTTCACCAAAAGCTATTGGCAAGTTCCAAGGTGCCATTGCCATGTCCAACCTCGGAGGAGGCAAGACACTGGGCCTCGATGGTGACTACGGGACAACATACTCAACCTACCTCACTATCGAGGAAAGTTATGAGAAAGCAGGCCAGCAGATCTTTGCGGCAGCGGGCTGCAACAGCACCGACTTGTCTGCTCAGATTGCGTGTCTTAAAACAGCCGACGCAGCAAAGATAGTTGGATTCAATACGGTCGCACGCTACGTTGTTCAGGATGGAACCTATGTCGATACATCCAACCTCATCCTCACAACTCGCAACGCCAGTACCGCGCATATTCCCGTCATGTTTGGCGTCACCCGCGACGACGGCGCCTCATTCACTAATTACCCCAGAACTCCCATCTCAAACCACACCCAGGGTCTCCAAGAAGCCCTCAGTATCAACAGTACATGGGCCCAGCGCGTCATCGATTCTGGTCTTTTCCCCCTGATCAACACAGGCAACCTGACACTCGACTCATTCAACGTCTCCCAGCGCATCACAACAGACAAGATGTTCCGCTGCATTGACCAATCCACCGTGTATTCTGGCTCCCGCTCCCACGCCTTCGAAAAAGCATACTTCTACCAATTCGAGCGCACGATTGGCGGTTACGATCCCGACGGTCTCGGCGGGCCCGCCAACAACAACCCAGAGAACCCTTACTTTCGTATCCATGGCTCAGAAACTGACTGGGTATTCGGCACACTGACGACGATCCGCGACTCCAAGGATTTGTGGAGCGAGCAGCTTACCACCGGATATTTTGCCTCGTTCATCCGGAGCGGCGACCCGAATCCCAGCTTGAGCTACTTGGACGTGCGTGGATACGAGAAGGAGGTTGAGGGTGCGAAGAAGTTCGGCGCGTGGAAAGCTGTTGATGCAACCGGCAAGGATGGTGATGAAATACGCTTCCTGGACTGGCCGAGTAAGAGCACTGGATACCAGGATGTAGAGCAGTGTGCTTGGTTAGGATATCCTCTAGATTACTACCTCAAGGGTGGTATCTAAATCTCTTGTGATTACACGTATATACATGCGATCTTACCAGTCCGTCCTCTTACTATAATAAAAATTACTAAACACCTTCGTCAACAAATGCTCTCCATACATACTACTCTCATACACCCTCTTGCCCCCCGTCCTCTCCACACACGTCTCCAACGGCGCAACCTCCGCGTAGAAATTCGGCTCGTAGAAGAACGGAACACTAATCCTATACCTATTCCCTGTCTGATGAATAACCCGGTGCAGTGTACTCTTCCACAACCCATTTGTCCACCGCTCAATCATATCCCCAATGTTAACTACGAATGCGCCAGGCACAGGATCGGCATTAAGCCACGTCCCATCTTTAAGTTGAATCTGCAGTGCATTGGGCGTGTCGTCGGAGAGAAGAAGAGTAACGCACCCGTAATCCGTGTGTGCGCCACAAGAAAACTGCTGTTGTTGTTCTTCCTCTCCTTCCCCCTCCCCACTCGTCGACCGCGCAGTAGAAGCAGGAGGAGAAGGCAAAGGCGGATACCCAATCATCCTCACCACCCAAAACGATCCCCTACAAGCCCCTTCAATAACTTCCTTCTCCCCCTCACCCTCCAACTCCAACGCCTCCCCCATCGCCCGTACCAACGCCTCACCAACTTTACTCACCCTCGCAATATACTCTTCATACACGCCCCTCAACCCCGCCGGTTCCTCCGGCCACAAATTCCTCCCTTGAAGACTCTTAACGCTGCCTGGCCCCGCATCCCCCTCCTCCCGCCGCTCCTCCGGCCACTCGGCGTAAAAATCCACAGCTTCCTGTAAATCCTGCAATCCGCCGCCTTCATCGTCAGTACATAAGCGCTGGTACCCGCGTGCGCCGTCGCCGCCTTGTGGGCTTCCTGCGTCGAATCTCTCAATCTTGACCTTCTCTTCCAGTGGCAAGGCGAAGAATTGCCGAGCGAGCGAGATAACGGAGTCGAGTTGGGATTGTGGGATTCCGTGGCCGGTGAGGTAGAAGAAGCCGTAGGTTGTGCACGCGGCGTTGATGGCTTGGGCTGTTTTGAGGCGTGAGGAGGGTGGCGAGGTGGAGTTGAGGAAGGGGGATATGTCGATTTTTGGGAGGCCGGAGGAGTGCGCTGTTGAGATGGGGTTGGTGGAGCGCGGGGATGGGGAGGGTGTGGGGGTCAGACTTGGGGATGTTGTCCAGGGTTTGTCGCTGTTGTGGAGTCTGTGTCGGGCTTTTTGGAGGGCAGCTTGCATGTCGGACATGGTGGGCTTTTCTCTTTTTTGGGAGTTGTTGTTGTTCAATGGCAGTTTGGTGGTTTGATGGCGCGTTCGATAAAAGAAAAGGATTTTGCCAATCTTGAGGCTGGTGGTGGTTAAGTTTTATGGCAGTGTCAAGTTTCAGAGTAACCGTGTTATATGGCCATCGGCATCACCTAGCGTTGCAATTTTTCATGAAGCATAGCAGAAGAGGGTGAGTGTTGGCAAAGTGACAAGATGCAATGTTCAAGCGCCGATACCCTATCGAGCCTAGAAGCGGGTAGCCCTGAACATCCTTGACAGAAACCGACGATACTCAACATAACTCCTCGCCAATCATATACACACATTTTTTGGCCTCTGTTTTGATGCTGAGAGTATTTGATTGAAATCTCTCATAGATTGTGGTATATTGATTTCTCTTTTAAACGCCCCTAGCGGTGCTATTTTCCTAATCGTTCACTACAGGTCCCCATGTCGTTGTCCCTTCATTATCATTGATCAACAGCATAATGTAAAGTCTCACATCATTTTACATGATGACCTCGTTAGAGACGTCCTGTTGAGTGAATTAGCCAAGCCTTCAACATACTCATGATCATATGTCTTACCCGCTTCAGCTCCTTGTATGGCAGACAGACACAGTTCTGCACACGGACCTCATCTGCGACGGCGCAGTCCTTACCGAGGATGGTAATGCTCTGAACCTTGACACCGTTCTTGATGACGCTAGTAGTGTGGCTGGTGACGGGCGTTGGTGTACCCTCAACACGGGCCCATGCACCAACCTTGCTGTTCCAGCCAATAATGGTGTACAGCACACATGCGTCGTGCTTGATCTCAGAGTCCTCGAGCACAATGGACTCTTTCACACGTACACCAGCGCCGATGACGACGCGGGCGCCAATGGAGACATTGGGTCCGATCTTGGCGGTTGGATCGATCTGAGCAGAGGGATGAATGTAGACTGGGGGCAGAATGTTGGCAGAGGGGGCGGCAAGCTCTTCTGATCCCGCCTGGAACATCTTGGCGAGGTACAGAGCATTGGCGGGGACGGCAGAGCCCGCAGTCTTGATCTGGCGCCAAAAGTCCTTTGTCTCAAGGACGAAGAACTGCCTGCTGTCGGCAATATCTGACAGCACGTCCTGCTCAAGGCGAATGACAGCGTTTTCCCTGCTGTCGTCGTCGTCTTCGTTCTGGTAAAAGGAAGACTCGAGGTTCTCGTTGGAGGGGTACGACAGCAGCCGTGGACGCTCGGTCCGTCGCTTGATAGCGCTGCGGATGGCGGGGAAGATGCACTCGGTCGCAAAGAGGTAGATACCGCAGTTGATCAGGTTGGAAATATGCGACTCGGGCTTCTCGACGTAGTGGAGCACGCGCTTGGTGTGCGCATCCGAGACGATGCATCCAAAGTTTGAGGCGGCCTCGTTTGCGACTCTGGTGCCCAGCATGACAGCCTCTGCGTCCTTGTCCTCGAATAGCTTCAACATCTCGACAAGCGGGAATGAGGAGCAGACATCTGCGTTGAGAACAAAAAGCTTCTCGGGCTTGCCCTTTAATATGACATCACGGAAGTGGTAGAGACCTCCAGCAGTACCCAATGCCTGGTATTCGCGGAGGTACTTAACGCTCAGGTGGGGCCAGTTGGTCGACACGGCATTGATAAAGGGCTGAAAGACGGATTCCTCATAGTAGCCGACAATGAAGACTTCCTTGATATCGGGGACGTTTGTGATTGCGCGGAAGCAGTGTTCGATTATGGGGTGGCCAGCGACGGGGAAGAGCGGCTGTGGGATCATCAGCGGGGTGCGGCCGACGGGGGCAGAGGGGCATATATACCTTGGGCAGTTCCATAGACAGCGGCCTGAAGCGGGTGCCGCGAGAGGGCCCTCCGACCTGCGCGTGTGAGTATACATGGCTGTTGGACTTTTGCGGCGGGTGCTCTATACCAGGATGACGGCCTTTGTGGAGCCGCCAGAGGGCGACTTGGACCTCATGGCGAGGGACGGCGGCTGGAGACTCATCTTGGCGCGGGCTTCAGTGTGTGCGGGGGTGGATGAGGAGAGAAAAAGAAAGAGACTGTTGTGCACAGAATTGAGAGGCACAAAAGGCGTGGTGCTAGAGCAATTGAGAATCTGGCCTTGTCCCAGGAACCAGCTGGTGGACCCTGACAGGATGCCGCCCACGTTGGCGGTGAGCTGGCCGAACGAATCACTGACGCGCCGCCTCGTGTCAGGTGCATCTCTACTGCACCCCTTTCCTCTCTACATGGCTATTCTTAGCTTCACCACATATTCCGCTCAACGTGTTGCCATTGATACGAATGCATTGCTTGCTCTAATCGGCTTTGGTGCACGGCGCTACCATCGCCAGCCTAACACGATCACGCTACACAATAAGCTTTTTGCCTGTGCTTGATAGAGTAATACTATACGATCCACGTGCCTGCCACTCTGCTTGCCAAACCAATGCCCTTATTTTGCTGCTCCCAATGCCAGCTTCCTGTTCTTCTTGATCAGTGCCGACAGCTTCTTCTCCAGAACATCGTGCTCCTTTCTCGCTGCCTGCATTGCCTGTTCCGCCTCTTCCATGGTCAACACGCTGCCTCTTCCTCTTCTTGCGTTACCGCTGTATCCACCCATACCCGCTGTGGTCTCAATAGCATTCATCAGCCCCTGCATATCCAGCCCACCCGCGCCTTGCCCAAGCATGATGTTACCATTGCTGTCAAGACCCACTTCTTGCGTCGACTGGTAGCCCAGACCGGCTCCTACAAGTGCTTCAAGACCCTGTACAAAGACGCCTCCCAGCTTGTCAGCAGCCATGAATCCCATGCCATCAATCTCGGTGCTTCCCACTGCACCACCTTCAACGACCGCCTTTGCTGCCTTGGCAAACCTGTTTGCATTGACGGACATGTTTGCCGTTCCTGCACCAGGTGGTCCACCTACTGCCGCCATTTCAGGACGTGGCTGGTTCGGTGGCGGGTTGTCGGTGCGGGGAAGCACGTATTGGTTCAAATAACCGCCGGCATCTGCTGGTGTTTGTTGTTGCTGTGACACTGGAGCCTGTGCAACTGATGCATCCTGTCCCTGTACTGGGGGTAAAGGAAGGTTTGTTGAGCCCAACAGTCCAGATGGAACATCAAGCCTCGGCATTTGCTGTCCGCCATTGGTGTTTAGCTTCTTGCCTGCTTCCTTGAGTGCCGTCGCAATGGCCGGTAGGACATCGTTCGTCTGCGTGGCCAGGCCGTGACTGTGTGCTGTTTGTTTCCGAGCATGGAAACGGCCAGGGCCCTTGAGCTCGTCAATCCGCTTTTCAAGCTCAAGTGCCTTTGCCTCCAGCTCTTCACTGAGTCCCCAGAAAAACTTTCCGCCTGGCGTGATCAGAGTCCTTGATTCAGACTTTCCATCTTGACTGTTGAGGCGCAGAGGTTTCTTCTTAGCCAACGTTTCCAAGTCTGCTTCGGAAAAGTGTAGTTTCAAGTCCGGAGGCGCAACCGCGCCGCCCATTTGAGTGTTGCGAGTTGTATGGGTAAGCGACGCCGATAGCGGCTTGAAGAATTCAAGATTAGACGCAATCAATTCACCGGTGCGTTGCAGATCGGCCATGATGGACTGTGCAGTATGCTCGCGCTTTTCCTTTGACTCTTCACGTTCCGGCTCTGGTTCGGGCGTAGCTGCAACAGAAACCTTTGCTGAAGGGACCCTATGAGCCGTGGCTATTGGCACTTCAGCATGCTCATCCTCAACCGTAGCAGGCTTAGGCGAAGCTGGTTGGCTCTTGGCTGCTAATGCTACAGGTTTTGAGTTGGTTGATGGTTTCTTTGCTTTCTTCTTACGACCAATAATAGGAGCTTGCACAACCTCAACATCCGACTTGTTGTCTTCAAGCTGCTCCTCTTCTATCTGCTTTTTGCGTTCTTGTCGATCTTTCTTGGCTTGTGACTTGGTCTTCTTCCTCACAGGTGCGGTACCAACCTTTCCAACCACGGGAGGAGGTGAACTAGCCCGAGAGAAAGACGTAGACGTGATTGAAGCAGTGTCTGATATCAGTTCACTTGCAGGAGTTCCTGGCTGGTTCACCGAGGCGATGCTCGCCTGCCTGGATCGGAGTTTATCAACAGTCGGAATATGCGGGAGAGGCGGTGCTGTGGTCGCAGACAAGGGTGGTGGGACTTCAGTCTTTGGTGTTGCAACAACACGAAGAGTCCTTGGCGGTCCCGCACGCTTAATTGGAGATCCTGTTCCCAAGGCAGCAGGACTTGGAGGCACCGAACCAGCTGCTGTAACTGATACCGAACGAGCATGCTTCGTCTGAGAGTCTGCTTTGCCTGGTCCTGCAGCTGGAGATCCCTCGTCCTTTGGTAATTTGGTCGCCGCTACGATATCGAGCTTGCCTGGAGGCTGTCTTTTTGTAGAAGACGTGGGGGTTGCAGCAGCAACTGGAGTCCGTACGGGCTCTTTTGGCGGCTCTTTCTTGGGAGTTGTCTGTACTTGAGCTTGGTTCTTCTTAGAAGTGCCCTTCGCTTTGGGCACGTCCTTTGTAGCTGCCTCTGACATGGACTTTCTTGTTTCAGACGCAGTCTTGGGTGTCTCAGTTTCGCCCTTGACTCTCCTAGAGGCTTCTCTCGGTGTAGGCTCTTTGGGGGTTTGTGGGAAGACAACAGTTTCCTTGGGTACCGAAACCTTGGAGGGTGTCGTGGGTTGAGTATTGGTTGTAGGAGTTGCCGCATGGGTTGTGGTAGGTGTTGCCGGCTCTGCAGAATCGCCCTTTTGCCTACTTTTTCCAGCCTTGCTGGGCGTTGATGTTCGTATTGGCGTAACAGGCACAACAGGCACAGCCGGTGTAATGCTTGAAGATGCAGTCCTAGACATTGGCCGAGATGCAGGCCGAGCACGAGACTCCTCAATGACAGTTTTTGGAACAGCTGGGGCTGTGAAACCAGGTGGAATGGTAGGAGTGGATCGACGAGAATACTCAAGAAAGTGGCTGCTAAGTGGAGTGATTGGCATGGCTCGAATGGGCTCATTATCGCTGTCATTGACCAGCGCATCGACATTGATGGATGCTTGCTCCTCTGCATTGAGTGGTACATCATCTACACAGAGGTGTCAGTATAGATTTTCGCACGGTTGGAAACAATCGCAATGCCAAAATGAGTTTAGTGACCACGGCGGTCGCCAGACGATGGTCAAGGTAGTGATGCTGGCAAAGCATTTAATATACATCAGGCTACAAGGGTTGTCTCTCGAGCACCTTCGTCACTGGCAAGGCAAGAAAATAGTGCATCCACCTCTCTATTAAAAAGTAAGCATGCCGACTTGATCGCGGCAGGAGGGGTAGTTACGTACATGCGATGGCCATGACGAAGACGACGAGAGAAGCTGACCTTTGCATCGGCAGGACAGCACAAACAACCCAGATATGAAGAAAAAATGAGAAAGGAAACGTGAAAGGCGTAGAAAAAATGCCGTAAAGACGTGGCAGCGTCAAGAAATTTTGACAGTGACCGTGTAGCCCAATCAAAACGCCAGGCATGCCAGTGTCAAAACACCGAGTCTGTGCCGATGCAGTCGCCGTGTAAACTGAAAACGCCATGCAGCCACCGTTGCAATAAGTACTAGGACAGTATGTCTGGCCAACTGGCCGACCAATATGTAGAAGAAGAAAACTACTACCATCGTCCAGCGCCGCCGTAGTTGTTGTTTGAATAAAGCGAAGAAAATCCGCTTTGACCTTGGCCATACAGGCCCTGACCAGCCATGCCACCTTGATGCAGCCTTGCCTGCAAGATACTCGGGTCTTGGACATCAGCAAGGCCACCTCCTCCAGAAGAAGAGGTGTTTGCATGCCTGTGCTTCTTGCCCTTTTTCTTAGATTTCTGCGAACCAGATTCCTGGTAAGCGCCAGGCGAAGGCCCATAAGGGAAGCTCAGAAGACCAGGGGCTGGGGCAGGTGTAGAGGTCGTGGAGTGTTGATTAAGGAAAGAAGGAAACATTGACTCACGCTTTCCAGCATCAGCTAGCCTAGCATTACCATCCATGTTGCGGCTGCGGAGCAGATCCTGATACATCGCGTCACTGTTATTCCTTGCAGTGGCACCCGTCCCATAGGGAAGGCCGCCAGTAGCAAAGCCGTGACCTTGACCGAACATACCAGTCCCGCTAACAGGAGGCGTGCCAGTCGGCTTCAGTCCTGGAGGCGGTCCTTGCACGTTGGTGAAGAATTGTCCGCCCAGTGGCTGATGCTGGGACATTGGATTGAACTGACTGGCGTTCTTTGGCATCATTGAATTTTGCTGATTCATCAGTTTCTGGTTCGCCACAGGCTGTACATTCGCTGAAGCTGAAGCGCTGTCGTTGGCGAAGCTGAAGCGGGAAGTGTGCCTGTTGTGTCCAGAAGCATTTCCAGCCATTCCATGCTGCTGGGGCTGCGTGTTTTGCATATTGCCTAGCAGGCCAGTGGATTGAGTGCCAGACTTGAAGTTGGAGAGCAGTAACTGCTGCTGCTGTTGTGGCGTCAAGCCTCTGTTGCTCAACCCAAGGGTGCTAAAGTCGTCGGTCAAAGGCGTGTTCTGCCCAAAGAGGCTCCCGCCAAAACCCTGTTGACCGGGTGGTGCGATTACATGCTGACCGAGATGGTTGGTGCTTGTGTCAGGTCCATCTTCGGGTTCCCCGCCCAACTGTAAGCTACCCCCCGCAGTAGCCTCATTGTCCTCGCGTTCAGCGGCTGGCGCTTGCTGCTGGGAAGCCACTTTCACTTCACCTTCCGCCTCCCGCAATGCAGCAAGTTCTTTTTCCTTTTCTTTCATTGCGCGTCGCTTTGCGCCCCCATTTGGATCAAGCAACTGAGGAAATTCGGTCACAGCCTTCAACTCTTCCTCCGAAAGAACTGCACTAGAGAACACAAACTTGAAGTCGGGCGAGCATATGATCTTGAGCAAGTCTGGGAAATCCTGATTGCGGGGTTTGGAGGGGCGTGTGGTGGTCGTGGGTGCGGATGCGGTGGTAGACTCGGAGGTTGTCGACGTTGATGCTTGCGGATACTTTTCCTTCTCCTTTTCCTTCTCCTTCTCTTTGTCCTTGTCCTTGTCCTTGTCCTTCTCTTTCTCTTTTTCTTTGTCCTTTTCCTTCTCTTTCTCTTTCTCTTTCTCTTTCTCTTTCTCTTTCTCCTTCTCTTTTCCTTTCTTCTTCGGAGCTTCTACTGGCTTAGGTGCTTTTGCTGCTTGTGCGAGTACCGCATTCGTGACCATAGGGCTAGCGTTGTTGGAGGCGGTCGTTGAACGACTTGCACGACGCTCCAGTAGAGCTTTGCTACCCCAGTTCGCAGTGGCGGGCAGACCAGGTGCGTCATGTATTGAACTCGACGTATCAGTGCTATCTTGTCGATGCATTGGCGTTGCAGCGGCTACGGGAGGCCCATGATGCGCAGGAGGCGCGGCTCGTGACGTTGACGATTGGGATGGCTGTTGCGTTTGGATCGAGTTCATCATGGAAAGGTCTTGGCGGGTGAAGCTGTCATTGTCTTCGCCGGGCTCGTGTAGGAACATGCAGTTGCGATTGTTGCAAGTCTCACCGCGGAGATAGGCTGAACAGTATTTGGTAGTACCAAATTGTGCTCTGTGATATGTCAGTTATTTAGAGGACACATGGCATGAAGGAGCTGGTGCATACCTGAGCACTCTGTCGCCGTTTTGCGAACCGTCAACGGCGTTGATGCATCTCTCGGCATCTTCCTTGCGAGCAAACGTCACATAGACACCAACCGACTGCTGATGCTGTGCATTCTCCTTGGCTTTGCTCACGACAATCTTCAAGATCTTGCCATATTGGCCAAAATAGTCCTCGCCACGTAGCGTCTTGAGCAGTTCATCTTCACGTATTGTTGGCGTAAGACCCGTGACATATACAAGGTTCTTCTGGACGACTCGAAGGCCAGAAAGGTGCTTCCGGCTAAGCGAGTCGGCTTCGGCCTTTTGTGCTTCCTTTTGCCGCATCTGCGCATTCTTCTTGGCCTTTTGCGCAATTTGCTGCTTGTGCTGTGCCATCCTGCCCAATGTCAGAGGGTTTTCAAAGAGAGGAGGAGCAGGGGACCCACTCTTCGGGAGAGATGGTCTTCCACTCGATTGTGGAGTCATCGTAGGGGCGGCGGCAGGCGGGGCAAAGGCCGTTCATGGTTGTCTTGATGTTATTATAGCAGAACTGGCATATCTGAGACGCGTGTTAGCATGGCGGCTTGGGACAGCTTCACCGAGTTTTGGCGAGGGAAGCGCACTTGGTAGCCACAAGGACATGGTCGGAAGTTCCTGTCGGACAGATCGAACTCCTCGACGCACAGAGGGCAGCACTCTTCCTCGTCATCATCGACGAACTGGTCCTGCTGTACCCGAGACATGGCGAAGGGTGGCTGTGTGGTGCAAGGTTTGGTTTAGAGCGTAAGGGTGGTGCCCGAGGGCAGTTGTGGTATGAATGCGGGGGTGGGATAAGACCTGGGGTGACGAGCACACAAGGCCTGCAAGGAAATCGCTGAAGTACAAATAAACGCCGGCCGGATTGTCGCAGTCGCAGTAAGAGGGATCCACGGGAGGTGATGGGGGTTAAGAGGCTGCAGCTGCGTGATGGCACACAAGGTTCCGCTCCACGCTACTTACATAAGCATGCGTCTCGCGGGTTGAGCTGTGAACTTCACGACGTCGTCGATACCTCCACCCCAAGTCGCCCTTCCCCGCTGCACATCGCGTAGCCCCTTAACACCACCTCTGCAAACCATGGCTATGCGGCTAGCTGTAGGCCGGCCATTGGGCGCCGCCGTCCGCGCCTCGAGCTGCTCCCGCAATGCGATGCGCACCTTTGCCTCGACGGCACTCCGGCCCAAGGAAATCGCGGGACCCGCTTCCGACACACCAAACATGCGGGTATGGATCAGCAGATGGTAGCAGATATTAGACCTCATCTAACATCATTTGTAGTTTGCTCCCCGCGACACGGTTGGCAAGCTCAAGGCCCCCATCGTCAACCCGACAGAGAGCCTCAAAGAGAAGGGCGAGGCACTCCACAAGTACGGACAGTACATCATGTCATGTCTGCCGAAATATGTCCAGCAGTATGTTACACAGTCTAGTAGGGGAGAATGGTGTTTGACAGCAATACAGATTCTCCGTCTGGAAAGATGAATTGACCATCTATGTCCCTCCTTCCGGTATCATCCCCACATTCACCTTCCTCAAGTACCACACCGCAGCCGAATACACTCAAATCTCGGACATTACTGCTGTCGATTACCCCACCAAGGACCAGCGATTCGAGGTCGTGTACAACATGCTCAGTATCCGCCACAACTCGCGCATCAGAGTCAAGACATATGCCGATGAGGCGACCCCAGTACCCAGTCTGTGCGATCTCTACGATGGCGCCAACTGGTACGAGCGCGAGGTCTATGATCTTTTTGGCGTCTTCTTCGTTGGACATCCAGATCTGAGGCGAATCATGACAGACTACGGTTTTGACGGACACCCGCTGCGAAAGGACTTCCCAATGACTGGATACACTGAGATCCGATACGACGAGGAGAAGAAGAGAATTGTTGTGGAGCCACTTGAGATGACGCAAGCGTTCAGGAACTTCCGCGGCGGATCATCAGCGTGGGAGCAGGTTGGTCCAGGTGAAGATCTCAAGCCGGAGAACGTAAGTTGTACCTCTGTCCAAACGTTGCTGCCAGTGCCTAACAGAATTACAGTTCAAACTGCCAACACCCAAGCCAGAGCCACCGAAAGAAGAGAAGAAATAGAAGACCTTGCGAGTTTGAGTTGTATATACCTGCGAATGAATGGGCCAGTGCACCTTCGAATAACTCGTGTCCAAGCGTTGACTTGTCGACTAGTAGTGACTTTCTGCTTTCACACTGATATAAAATTTTGGCACGGCAAGAGATGACTGTTGTTAGATTGCACAGAAGATCGTGTGATATCACATGTATGGTGGGTCGGAATAGAGTTTGGAGTCTTTTGCCCTGGTTGTTGTATCATCGGCCATTATTGACATGCCAAGCATATCTCGCAATCGGCCGCTCGTTTTGGTAAGCGCAGTTGAATCCACCTTTCAGCCACCCCCAAATTTGGTGAAAACGTGGGTATTTGGTTTCTGAGTCATTCTCAACTGCACAGCAAGGCATTTGCGCTGTGCAACGGTGAAGAATATCCGGTTGGCATTAGACCATGATAGCATCTCTTTGCCTGAGGATACCCCGCTTTCCGATCCTAGATCCGCACTATAACTGCACACCGTGGTAAATGGTGGCATATCTTTGCCCGAGGATATCCCGCTGTCCTGTCCTAGATCTGCATTACCGAACCAGGTGCTAGGCAAGAGTATCGGGATTTCCGGTTGACGCATCCGAAAACCGGTAACAGCATCAAGAAACGGTTCGTATAATGGTATGTGCTGTACGTAAACCAGAAAGTCTTCCGACTTCCTACCAATCACGCACAATAGACTAAAACCCAGTGTACCATCCTCCTCACTTCCAGATGTAGTAACTTGAAGTATAAGAGCCCAGCTTTGGTCCTCTTAACATTCCCCAACCATAATGATCTCACCACTACCGCTACTTGCTCTGTTTACCCACCTTGCGACATCCACCATGTCAGCCAACACAACAACAACAACCATTGAGCCCTTCAACCTCTCTGCCAAAGCAGGCACAGACATCTGGCGCAAACCCCCCTCCACCAACGTCTTCAACGCTGCATTCTATCCCTCCACCCTCGCCACCTACCCCCTCAAGCAGTTCCAACGCGCAAAAATCTCCTTTGCGCTCCCACCCTCCAACGAACTCCGCCGATATGACCAAGCCGGCCTCGTCCTCCACCTAACCAAAGAGGGCGTCGCCGATAACGCCACAAAATGGATCAAGACGGGCATCGAATTCTACACTGGTAAACCGTTCGTCGCGACTGTTGGCTGCGACATCTGGGCCGACTGGTCGCTAGTACCCATGCCGGAGTTTGTAAATGGCACGCAACCCGCTGCTACGATTGAAGCACGCAAGGAGCAGGATGAGCTTGGCAAGAGTTTGTGGATTTACTGGATTGTGAGGGATGAGCAGGGCAAGGAGGTTGAGAGGCGCCCGTTGAGAGAAGTTAATTGGTTTGCGGCGGCGGAGGATGAAGGATGGAACGTTAGTATTGCGGGCTATGTGGCTAGGCCTACTACAGCCGGGGGTAATGAATTGCTTGAGGCGGAGTTCAAGGAGGGTCTTGAGATTGAGGTCTCGAAGTGAATTGGTCTTTAGCGAGGCTTTTTTTTGTCCGAGTTGTTGGGGGGTTGAGTGAAGTTGGAAGCCTGATTGAGGGCTTTTCTCTTGTCTTTCACTCTCACCTTCACTTCGTTTACTATCTAGATTCACACACAGATAAAAAATCACGCTCTGTGCAGTGCATTTACTCTCTATCACAAACACTGTCTCTTACTTCTTTTCCCCCACTAAACGCAAGGAATACTGCATCTATCCGCTTTCTCGCCTCTGCATTCAATTGCACTCAACACATATTCACAAACACTCTCAAATAACCACAGAAGTAACAAACAAACAATGTGTCGCATCCAACTTCACTGCCCGAGCACATCAAAGACCCTTGACAACTTTGTCATCGGCGCGTACCAGAAGCCAGAGCAAGTCCTACAAGGCGTGCGACTGGCACTGGACCTCAAGTTCGCAGCGCTCTACACCACCGACGCAAAGCCTATCAGCGATCCCAGCAAGATGCTGCAGGATGACGAGCGCGTGCTAGTCGCTGCCAGTGCGACGGAGACCATGTTGCCGGATGCGGTGTACGGCTACGCGATGTACGCCGGTGAAGAAGGCGAGGATGTTGATATCGACGTCGATGGATATGGCATGGACTGGCAGGTAAGAAAGCCTCTTCGTCACATTTCCCTTTTTTTTTATTTGGTTGTTTTACTGTTTTGATTGTGCGCCTTGCTCATTTGTTTGCGTTCTTGCTTTTGGAGACTGAGAGGTCGAGAGAAAGGGCAGAGAAGAGTAAGTGTATTACAAGATAGGTATTGTATACTAAACCGACTTTTTCAACCAAATAGGACCTCACCGACCGCGAGAAGGCCGCCCACATTCTCAGCTTGGTGGAGAGCAAGCCGCCGACGAGAAACAAGCTCCGCATCACGCGGGAGTGCGGCGCTGTAAGAGAAGAACTTGCAGCGATCAACCAGCAGGAGCTTGACACCGCGACCGCACCGACTACGGAGCACGAGACTGTTATCCAAGAACGATGGGATACAACTCTCGATGCGTTCATAAAGCAGATCGCGAAGCACGCACCTACTCCGGCCACGAAGTCGCACATAACTTCGTCGTCGCTATCCTCTTCGACCATCTCAGCTCTATCAGTCCTATCTTCCATGACGCTTGGACAGGCGCGCCTCGCCGGCGAAGTGCTGTGCGAGGCTGTTGCAATGCGTCTGGAGAAGGACCAGGACGAGACCAAAGACCCCGTCCCACGTGAAGACGATGTGAAGAACGCCGTAGAGATAGTGTTCGAGCGGGCTGGTGTGATACCAGCGAAGTTGACGAAAGTCAAGGGAGGAAAGGCAAAAGACCGGAAGAGGGCAAAGGGAAGGGGAAAGACCGTGGGTGGCAATGCCAGTCTGTGAGTTGATTGTATAGTCGGTATCGACAGAGGCAGATTGATTATGGGAGACGTCGTTTCAAGGAACATACATATAAGTACTGAGGAGGAAGCAGGTCAGGATAGCCAGAATGTGGCATCTTGACATTTTGACAGAGAGGAGAAGTTTGTTTTGCCTTGTTCTAGTTACAGAAAGTAACATCATAATGCTCACCAATAACACAACGTACATCCTGGTGCACCTGACAAACTCCTATATACTTTGACTTTGCAACTATTCTCAGCTAGATGGCAACTCCAATAGCTGTTGGTTTTCTTGCGATACACGCCAAGATACCACCCAAGTCAATCTGTGTCCTTGTACACAAATACTACCGTGGTGTAGCTGTCTAATCTAACAACTACAAAGTCGGTGTCTTTATAGCGATTACTTGATTCTTAATTAAGTCAGGGCTCCTACGCTCAGTTTCGACTACATGGACGTTGGCGCAGATTCCACATACCGTCCAAGGGGTCGAGTTTATTTACTTTGCACTTGTCCTACACCGCTCTTATAGCTAGTGGGCGATCCAATTTGTGTGCGATTGGCAGCGATCTTGTTTTGCTCGGGGGTTGGGGTAATAGAATTATATCTTAGACTAGAATTCCTAGTATACTAGAAAAATAGTACGGACGGCCTACTACTCGGTAGTAACTCGGTGAGATCACCAATCTTGTTTAGAGCCTATGTAGTACTGTATTCAAGGCAATACAGTAGTACCAGGGCGTCTTGGCTATACGTAGTAGCGTCCGGGAATATCCGGAAAGAAGGAGCGTACTACAGTATTACATATCAAATGTACTGCACCCAGCCATTTCGTCCGGCTACGTATAGTGCTTCATGCCAGCAAGGCTGCCACTGACTACTTATGTATATTCTCTGAATATAGTATTATAACAGAAAGATACAAATATTGAGGTTCAACTTTTCATTGATTTTGTGATCTGCCATTCTTTCCCGAGAAAAAACAATTTGACAAGCCATACGCCAAATCTATCCAAACAACTACACTCATTCATTTGATTCAATCGCATTCATAGCACCAATCCGTGTAGGTCTCATCGGCCTAAGTTCCCGCACCACCAATGCCTCTGCTGGTCCTGACGACTCCTAGGCTGCAAGGTAAAAGTCCCAGCATACATCTTCTAAATCTTACAAAGATCGAACAAAAAAAGTTAATGTTGATTTTTAGTGGTCATTTGCCATACCTCCTCCAATCCCCCCCCCCACTACAAACTCACCGCCCTCCTCAACTCAAGCATTGCCTCCGCCCAAGCAGCCATAAAACGCTACAGCCTCCCCGCCGACACAAAAGCCTATGGTACACCCGAGGACCTCGCCAACGACCCGGATATCGACCTTGTGATTTACAAGTGTGCGTGTCGATCACCACTACAATGTGGCCATGCCGACTATCCGCGTGGGCAAGGAAGTGCATGTCGAATGGCCACTCGGGTCGAATCTAGCGCAGGCGGCGGCAAAGAAGAGCGGGAGTAAAGACTGCGGTGGGGCTACAGCCTCGCGTCAATTCTTATGTGCGAAAAGCCAAGGATTTCGTTGAGTCGAAGGAGATTGGCGAGCTGGTTAGCTCGCAGTTTACCATTGAGACTGGGTGGCTGGGGTGACGTACTTCCCTAGGCTGCCGATTACATGTTCGAAGAAGGAAACGGGCGGAAGTATCTTTACGATTTTATTTGGACATCCCGCGGATGCCATGTTTTTCGCCTTGAGGGGGAATCGAGGAGTTTAGCTCTGTGCTGGCGACTAGGTGGCCTGAGGTCAGCTTGTTGAAAGAAGACGGATCGTTGGACAGGAAGGGCACCCGTGAAACGCCGGATCACATCTTTCTCCACAGTACGCTTGCAAAGTCTGGTGCGCTATTTTCCATTAATGTCAGAAGTGGAAAGCGGTTCAAAGGTGCTCCATCTGGTACTTGGAGCATCTTGGGTACAAAGAGTGAGATTCGGGTTACACCACATGCAGTGTTTGGTATGCCTGTTGGATGCGAGAAGCTTGAGTTGTATGACTGTGAAAAGGATAGTGTGGAAGAGATTCAGGTGGAATATTCAGACGCTGTGAAAGATCTCCCAGTGTTTGGGAAGAACATTGGGGAATTCTACGAGTTATTTGCAAAGGGTGGAACAGTGGATAAAGGGATTGGCGATTTCGAACAGGTAGTCAAGATGCATCAAGTCATTGACAAGATGTAAAAGAGCTGGGAGAGTAAACAGCTTTCAAGGCTCTCTCAAAGGGATGCAACCATGCGAGGATCAAGAACGCATGTATATCATTTTATCAATTAGTCAAACTAGAAAGTTCGTATTAATTACCTTGGAAGGTAAGGCTACCTACGGTGCAGCGAGACACAAACAACAAGTGCTTTCTCCTTAGAACAGGCAGGGTATTGCTAGCATTTGTCTTTCGCTTTTCTTGATTGTCGTCCTTTGGAATCGACGGAGAAACCTCAGAGTTTCCGCCACAAATCGATATCGAGTACTACGAAGGTGTCATATTCCATATAGTTCACGGCAATGTATCAAGGCATCATATTAAAGGCCGATGGCGTCTGCCGCGAACACTCAAATACTCTACCGACGCCTTATAGCATGCTTGAGGCGTGGCCGCTCCGCTATGCAGAGGTGTTAAGCCCGTGAATAATTGCCAAAGAAAAGGTGAGCATTACACAACATGACCGGGGCGCAAGATTGCAAATGAGACGAAAGATACGCTTAGTACACTTTTTCTGCCAATCGAAATGACACCGTAGAGCAAGTCATGCAAGAGAAGAAACAGGGGTTAAGATGGAGGAGAAAAGGATGGTGCATGACGTTGTAGGAGAAAACGATGAATGAATAGGTTGTGTATTAGACGATTCACGAAACGGAGACGAGATTCTAGACGGATCAGTATGCAAAACTGACGCACCTGACAAAGAAGAATAGGATACAAACGAAACCGGTGCATATCCTGAAGCCATAGGATCATCGTTCCATACTTACCGCCCTCAACCCACCTCGGGAAAATAGAGATTCTTATGCCGCATGAGCAGCTCTCTGCGAAGGGTTTCGACTGCGAACCTCGCTCTGCTTGACTTCCAGGTGCGTCCCGCTCTTGTTCTTCTGAAACTGAAGCGACCTGGGAGACGCTACATTGACATAATCTTCAGTGTCCTTTTCAACGACACCAGGGGTAGAGACATGAATACCCTCAATTAAGACCTTTTCGTTTTCGGGAATTTCAACGGGAGCAGCGCTGACCTTGGGCTGTGCTTTCTTCGTACCAATAGGTGGGTCGAAGCGCTTGCGTAGTGTCTCAATCATCTTGCTGAACCAGAACCAATTGAGGCCGTTGAGGGTAAGGTTGGAGGCTAGGTAGGCAGAGATAAGCCAGAGTGGGATAGTTTGGCCGGCGGAGTATTGAAGAAGATCGTTCTTAAAGCCTGCATTGTTGACATGAGTGTCGTCTGAAAGTTTGCCAACCTCGGGGTCGTATTGTGGGACTTGGCCAGTCATGTATAGGTGGTAGACGTCGCCGAAGACGCGGATCGACTGGTAGGTTCCCCAGACAAGACGGCAGGAGAAGAAGGTGAACAGTAGCATTAGGCCGTTGACGAACTGGACGGTGCTACCAGTCATGTTGAGCTTGTCGCAAAACCAGTGAATGTTGAGGAAGGGCGAGGAGAGTTCGTAGAGGATAAAAGTGCATGCATAGTAGTTTACGAATGGGCGCTATGCAAGCGATGAGTGATGTGGTTTCAGATATCTGGGTCAAGTACTTACGAAACCTAGCAAGAAGACGCAGAGAGCAGAGATGGCATGAAACAGCATGCCGATTCCAAAGATCTTGACGTTCTGGACAGTGATGACCAAGTCCCACAGGAAGTATCCTCCGGCGAATGCCTGGATCAAGCCAGACGCACCCGTGTATCCATGCACACGTTCTATCCTGTCCATGCTATTCAACTCCTTGTCTGTCCACATGACCCATAAGGCCAGGGCGCAGATGAGGGTACTCTGGACGAACGACACGATGTGGACATCCCAGTTTAACTTTGTCCGAGCGTTGAAGGTCGCATATACGCGAGGGAAAAATATTCGCGAAAAGGCCGGCGCAATGAAGCGGTAGGTGACGTCGTACAGGACATAGGCAACAGCAACTTCATGGAAGTGCAGGGGCAGCGTGTTGAGGGATAGGTAGTCAGCCACGGGCTGGACATACTTGACAAGGCTCTCAGGCCGCGCGATGGGGAATGGGTCGTGCATGATGGTAGAGAGATGGCGGTAGTGGAGGAGGTGAAGCGTAGGGCGGGCTAGACGGAGGAGTGAGTGATGTAAGGGCGCCTGGGGGCGCACACAGGGTAGGTGCAATGGGGCCAAGAGATTTCAGGAAGCAGCGACTGTTGCGGGGTACGAAGCAATCTTTATACCGTCAGGCAGGATGGGCGAGTTCACAGGGGTGCAGTCATGGACTTGTCTTGAGGATGCGTGTCGAAGGTTGCGAATGACGACTGCGGAAGGCACAGCGCCCTGGTTCCAAGGACCTAGGCCGAGGTGCGATTAGCGAGCCGCCAGAAGCAGAGGGCTGCTCACGCCGCGCCAAAAGCACACGACACATTCCAACTATGTGTGGAACATGTGTGGATGATGACTCTGGAGTAGTAAAGAACGTAGATATAGCCACGGGGCCGTGTCACTCCAACCCATGTTTTGTATTAATTCTGTACATAAGTGCTGCACGGCCACATGAGGCGCAATACATGTGTGCATACCAAGCATACCAAGCATAGTCCACCCAGGGCCTGTTAAACGAGCGCATTTACAACGCAGCGTATATAGAAGCCAGAAGCGTTGTAGAGCTTGTTCAAGCCTGCTTGTACGCTACCCGCAGTTTAATGCTCTACTCATCCTAACCAGCATCCCGCTATAAGACGCGCAATCAGCTGACGCCGTGCTTCTCGTGTGCCTAGTCCACGTGGGAAGGTATATAGCATCCCATCCAATAGAGAAAGAGTCAAGCGTGTGACTTGTTTATTGCAGATGTTGTATGGAGTAGATAGATATGTTGACACGATCCTCGCTGTTGGTACTGCGAGGCTTTGGAAACAGCGAACGTGTTAAATCCAGTAGGAAAACAGAGGTCGTGCCAAGACCATATCCACGTGACCCGCATAGATCGAGCAAAGAATAAAAGTTGCAAAAACAAAAACATACGACAGCGGGGATTCGCTAGTGGTCACCCACCTAACTACTAATCCACCGGTAAACTGCTTGTATAGAGCAGATCGGGCGGGATACCATAAAGACCGCTAAATTATCTGATTCCGGTATCGCGCAATCCGTAGCAAGTTTTTGCAGAAAGGAGAAGGATCTACTTGCGTTACACTCCTTCGGGCTGAGCAGCAGACCATCCCGAAATAGTGTAGCGCAAACAATTGATCTGCATAAGCCATAATCAGGGGCTGACATTGACCTACTAGCCTTGACAGTAAACCGCTCTACTAATCCTAGCAATACGGCCTGCTCACCAATCGTTCCCTCCACTGAGGAAGAGGCGTGATACCACCAACATGATAGGCGCCATGATCGCCCGATACAGACAGCTGCCAGCCGGAACGTGTTGTCTGCCTCATGAATTCCAGCTCTCAAGCATGTGGACTACTCGTCGGTCTATGCTGTGCACACCAAGCCGCCGTACCGAGCTCGCCTCTCTACATCCTCAACACTGCTATACACTCAGTTCGCGCAGATTAGTACATCAGCCATGTGCATGATGTATACTGTCCCATTTGCAGTAATGAGTGTTTGTTGGTGTTACGTGCCTTTGGTTGCGTGAGTAGCTATACCATCCTGGATGGTTTCAACATCGAGAACCCAGACGTCCCACCTGATATGAATAGCGGTCTTGTGCAGGACTTTCAGCGCCAGGATATGCCAGATTTGACGGCGGATTTTCTCGAGTTTCGCAGGATGAGGGGTCTCCGGTGGATTGTGTTGTCCAGATTTATTCAGGAAACTGGATACGGGGGATACAGGGGGCTCACGGGGACGTTTGCGTTCCGGGCTGGACGTTGGAGGATTGGACCATAGGGCTCTGCAAGGATTCACAGCGCACTTGCAGAGCAGACGGAAAACACTCATCACGCACGAAAACCAAAAGTTCAGGCAGACGTTGACCACGACAGTTATTCCTTTTCATAGTTCCCTCATCGAACTACACCCATCTACTGCTGTCACTACGTCTACTCCGCTACATCTTCCGTCCTTCTTACTCTTAAGCGTAGACATATTTAATCTTGATGCGGGGAACGCACATAGCCTCGTATGGCTGGGGAGCAGTGAAGGGAGCAACGTAAACTGGAGATGTAGGGTAAACGGGAAGAGCGGCGACACTAGAGGAAGCAGCAGCGCCAGAGGAAGCAGCAGCGCCAGAGGAAGCAGCAGCGCCAGAGGAAGCAGCAGCGCCAGAGGAAGCAGCAGCGCCAGAGGAAGCAGCAGCGCCAGAGGAAGCAGCAACACTGGAGGAAGCAGCAGCGCTTGAAGATGCAACAGCGCCAGAGGAAGCAGCAGTGCCAGAGGAAGTAGCAGCGCTTGAAGATGCAACAGCGGCAACGCCAACAGACGAGGCGACGACAGTAGAAGAAGCGCTGGGCGTAGGTGTGGGAGCGGCACATAGAGGGGCGGCGTCATTGAGCTTTCCAACGGCCCAGGTCGAGGCGTCGTCGGTGTACAGCTCAAAGTAGCTCAAGTGCTTCTCGACGTTGTCGCCGTTGGCGCAGATCGGGTCTCCCTTAGCGCAGTAAGAGCGCAGGACGGGTGCGTAACGGTTCAGGCGCGCAAGAGAGTCGGCGTGGCGACCGTCCTTCTGTAGATCAGAGCCGTCAAGAACGTTGTATGGCTGGTTAGCCTCATGCATGACATCGCCCCAGAGGAGAGCAGCAGCAACTAAGTTACCACATTAGCACAGTCCAAGGTTCGAGTGTGTCATGTCAAGAATACTTACTAGCATTACCAGGAGCCGAGGTAGGGTCTAGACCAGTGGTGATTTGGGAGCATCCACCAGGTCCAGCAAGGATATCTCCGGTAATCCAGGCACCCTGAGAGAAGCCATTGAGGATGAGGTGCGTGCAAGGGCACTTCTTGTTGAAAGCAGTGATCTGGGATTGACCGTTGCGGACTCCCTCGCCAATCTGTTTGCAGTAGTCGCCGCCCTTCGGGAACACAACCTCAATGTAGTCGCAGGTCTTGCCCTCAGCCCTTAGTTTGCCGCATGTAGCGTCGACGAAGGGGAATGTACGGCTGTCATGGTACGGCGCATTGTTACCGCGGGCCATGAAGATGACGGCATCGGCGCAGGGAGCGTCGAGCTTGGGGGCCGGGTCTTGAGCGACGGCGACGGCGACGACAGCGCTGAGCGCGAGAACGTTGCGGATGATGGAAGACATTATTAAGAATTAAAGAGTGTGGTATTAATCGATCGTCAAAAAGCGAGTGTACTGGTTAGATTGTAAGGTTGGAAGACCTGTGAGAAGAGAGAAAGACCTCTTGGCTTCGGGGAAACAGTATTTAATAGGAGCGTTCATTTTGCATTTCAGCCGAACTGAGTATCGACTCCGCTCGACTCCGCAGAAACGGGCGAAAAAGGGGAGTGTGCCTGACTAGATACGAGTTGGATCCCTTTTTGGCTGAGCTATCTTGGGTCGTGCGCTAGCAGGAGCGCGGACAAACGTCGTATTACAGAGATGGCTTTCAAAAGTTGTTGCTGATAGGGATACCTATCGGGCCGATCGTCTTAGCACCTATCGTGTTTTTTTATAGCCTAAGGAGTAGATATTCTTGGAGATCTAAGCTAATCAGCTGACCTCTGGCAGAATCCGGGTGCTCAGCACCACACCCGGATTCTTCAATCAATCAATCCCTGATCCAATTCATCTATCTATTACGTCTATAGCTACGTAATCTACTACTGGATAGATTCTTCTAGAATCTAGTACAGCTAATATATATAGTAGTAGAATAGCTAGTGGATGTAACGATGTTACAACTTCGCCATGTATCGGACCAATCCCAGAGCCGGATCGGAGGTAGTACTCGCCGCCCTCTTCATCAACCACTCGTTGTGAGGTCGGATCCGATTCGGATCCGACTAAGATAAGTATATAAGGAGACACTCCCTGTAGCTAGCTCTGTAGACTTTTGATATCCTTTCGTACAAGGCCTATAGGTGTCTATTCGAATCAAGGCTCGTTTGATGTCCCACGCACTCCCATATGTCTCTGAGTGACGCTACTGCCGATACTGATCCGAGTAGTCTTGCCTGCGCCGTTACAGTGGATAGAAACCAGAGCAGATTACCAGAGAAGACATCAAGAACAGATCGGATCAATCTAATTCTTCAATCTCTCTCTCCTAGCATTATTTCTTTTCACTCTAGAACCTATCGATTCGCTATCTCTGAGTCTATCGCTAGACAAGTAGACAACTCTACCTCTGAGCTAGCTATAGAACAAGTAGCACCCTCCTTATTCCAACTAGTGTTACTCTCTTTTTACCTCTACTACTATGTCCACCCTCTCGATTAACTATATAAAAGCTCTTTCCGCGCTTTAAGAGAGTAGAGTTATTTATGTCTAAGCTGGAAATAATTAATGAGGTCCTAGAAGAGCTGTCTAATAATAATTAGGTTACATTGTATAAATATATGCCTATTAATAATAAGCGACACGCTATTCATGTATTAACAGACGAATATTATAAGGCGGTGAGGCTTCGCATCAGTGAGAAACTTAACAGCCTAAAACATATTACTTAGTAGAGAGTAGAAAAGAAACAAAAGAATATAGCCTATTATTTAAATAACTTAGTCGACCTCTAGAAAGATTTTCAGCGAACGCATCTTTGTCCTATTTTTAAGGGGCAGCATGAGCCCTGGCGCGTTCATAACTTGGGGCATGCTGAAGTGATGGCAGGCTAAATAGATCACGGGCTCTCTCGCGACCTTAACATAGCGAGCAAACAAACGAAATTATGCTGTGAACTACATTATCCTAATGCATCTAATGTTTCCAACTAGTTAAGCCAGTTCTTTAAGCACTCCCGGCACACTAGATGTCCTGTAAGGGAGTAAGAACTAAGTTATATAAGATACCGCAGAACGTACCGCATTTCATATCGATTATAGTTTATGCTTGGTCTTCGCTGCAGATGAGGCATAGTGTACTATAAAGTCTATAACTTTGCTGCGCACCAAGCCTGCTATAGTGCATGCACACTCTTCTTGTCTTTTGGATGCAGCTGTGACACCACGGCTGAATTAATTAGTAGTTGCATAGATTTTTTATTCGATTCACTCACAGACCCATATTTCTCTAGAATACCAGGTGAATTCGCTTTGTCATCGTGGTCGAGTTTGTTGCTGTAACGGCGCAGGCAAGACTACTCGGATCAGTATCGGCGGTAGTGTCACTCAGAGGCATATGGGAGTGCGTGGGACATCAAACGAGCCTTGATTCGAATAGACACCTATAGGCCTTGTACGAAAGGATATCAAAAATCTATCGAGCTACGGTATGGAGAAGGTGGGGTTTTATATCAGCAGATCTGCCCTCGGCTAGTGCGTGCCCATGTTCGGATCCCTTTCGGATGTTAGTTCAGTGTGTACTCGAACCGTTACACTACCCCCCCCTCTATTGACAGCTAGTCCCGTAGCTGTTGAAAAATTTTCAATGTTTGTTTGTTTGTCTGTTTGCTTGATGTCGTCATCCTTCTATGCAGGGTCTCGGCCAGGCCCCGAACACGCCTCCGGGCCAAGGAGAATCCACTCAGCACGTGATATTAAATCCGTTTGCTCACTGAGTATATTAACAGCACGCGTCCATA